TGTATGTATGTATGTATGTATGTATGTATGTATGTATGTATGTATGTATGTATGTATGTATGTATGTCTGTGTGTGTGTTTGTGAAATACACATGCCCTGTGGCCCAATCGGTGACCCGGTGAGTTGTCTATGTTCCCTTGTTAGCCGCATTTGCTGGGGGCTGTTGAACCATTGAGACAGAACATCCTGGAACAGTTCGAAATGGAAAACAGTTGAATCGTTTGTCTAAAGTCTAAAGTGGTGGATGCTTCAACCCTGACCAACAACATGGACGTGGACAAATACTCTTCTGAGAGACCAAGTGTTGTTGTTGTTTCCAAAATAGTGCAATCTTTACTTGAATCATCTTGTGTTAAAAGAAACGTCCAGTCCCAAATATTAGCTCCACCCACATCTCCACGCCCCGAGCTCTCACGCCGCAGCTCGCACGCCGCGCTTCGGGCCGCTCGCTGCACTTTGTGCGTGCCTTTTTGGTCACACCTCGATCCTCGGTCGCTTGGCTGTGGCCGCGGCCGTCACGCCGGCCAAGTGCCACAAGTAGTCGTAGAGCTCCCTGACCGTGCAACCGACAGCTGACGATACTCCCGATCGGGTGGAGGGCGGTAAAGGGCTGTAGAAACGTAGATACCATTTCCGAACGCCGAACGCCAAGGGGACTGGCGCTAGATGAGGATCCTCTTCCAGGTGCCAAGTTAGTTTGTGAGGGTGGCCTCAGTGGCCTGTCATAATGCATATTATGAGCTTATGATATGCGTCTGTATGTAGGTGTCACAGGTCCTTAGGTTCCGACCGGCAAAGTAGGGTTACAAGATTGGGTATCCTCTTTCTCCTGTATTCAAAACATTGGGCCAGCCAATCTCATGAACTGGACCTATCCTCTCTCTATATATATATGTGCAATTGTGTATACAGGTCTAACACTATTATATACGTTGAAACATTTACATCAATGAAATATGCAATTCAAAACTCTAGCTCCAAGACTGCCAGCAAGCCGCAACGGCAAGGACTCCTTTCAGAAACAAAAAAGACTCAGTCCGGAAATCCCTACCAATTTCACTACACACAAATGTTTAAAGCATATTTTCAGAATATCCCTACAAACATCCTTCCTACGACCAGTTTCCACGACTCCCCCGCACCCGCACCTGTGGTGAGGTTCAAAGTTCATACCATCCACGGACATAGCGCGATCGTTGTGTGACCCATCCACCGCCACCGTGGGCTTCGCCTCAGCTAAATTGGTGCCTTCATTGCCCCAAACAACCTGCTGCGGCGAGACAGGGTAGTATACGCGTGTGTAAACAATAACATGTATAATAACATTACATATAAGAAGATATATTACAGTATCTATATTACACTGTATATACAAATATACTGTGAAGAAAAGGCAACATGATGCTACATGCACAGTTTTTTGCCTCCTGCTGGAGGTTTACACGTAATGTAGCAAATCTGACAACACAGAGGTCACTTGTGAAGCTCTAAATGTGCAAACTCCAGCAAACTCCAGAATCCGTTGACGCACGAATGGCGGAAACCATCAATCGCTGTGATTTCTCAATCTTCATGGAGTCTTGGAGAGTTGAGAGTCCCTTTGCACGAAACACTCCGAGCACCCAAATGCACGATATGATCCTTACATCACTTACATCACTGTTTTGTAGCCAGCAGCGCTGCAGCAAGCCCTACCCTGAGTAGTCGTTCCTACAATCCGAACAAACAAAGCTTCTCATGATGATTCTCATGTTGGAGTTTTGTGCAAGTGGAGTGCATGTGACTCAGCTATTTTCACAGCTGCGTTGTTGCCCCCTGCCCCTTGACATGTTCTGAGACAATTTTGGAGCTGCTTTGGATGACAACACAACTTACTTGTGCCAACTAGTGGCCATGATGGCTCGAAGCAAGTTCTCCTCCACGGAGCTTCCAATCGAACCTCAGCTGGGAAGCCGAAAAGCAGAAACATATCCATGAAATTCCATGAATGCCCTCCATCATCTGAATCCTCCATCTGTTCCTCAACCATGACAGAAAACCCAAAACGAACAGATCGATGGACTCCTTGACAAGTGGAACTTGAATATTGAGGGAGGACTTCCTGAAATAGTCACTGCCTGCATTCAGCTGCGAGAAGATCAACATAATCAGGCGAAGAACCCAAAGACTTGCATTGTTTGAGGTCGATTCCCTCGACCTTGCAACACAAGTCTTCTAAAGATTCAATTAATCCAAAAGACAGTTTGATACTCTAGTATCGAATGTATTTTAAATAAGATATTAGTATTGTATTGAAACATATGCAAAACAAATTTCTTACTAGTTCTTTAAAGAAACACACGCGTCTTCACGACTCGTGGTTTGTAGCTCACGACTGACTCATCAGTCTGAGCTGCGCATCTTGGGAACGTAGTCGACCTGAGCGGGCCAAAGCACATGGCAGGCAGCTTCGATGGCAGAGCCTGGGGGGTCGACGGTCCGGACGCGACGCTTCGATCCAGTACACCGGGGCGATGTACTCAGACAGAACAGGGTGCCTTTGGGAATTGGACATCTGATATACATGCCGGGCCATATGAATTCCGCCTCTCTGACACCTGAACTCTTGTATCCATACTTGTCAGAACGGTGGAAGAGAAACGAATCCGTAGGATTTGTCTTGCCAGCTTGGCAGCTTGGCCACAAAATGCTTGGGAGATCCAAGCATTCACCTGGTGATGTATGTCTTTATAATAGTAAGAACTGTGTTAATTGGTAGAGATCTCATGTGTGAAGCCCACGTCAACCCCAGTATTTTACCGCAAGATTGTGGTAATATATGAAATATACTGTCAGCATCTGTCAGCTATACCAGAAGTATGTTTTCTTCAGGAGACGCAGGAGAGTACTACTCGTCCCCACAAACAAAGCAATGTAAACACCTTGATGTCACACCAAAGCTACAGGACGAATTATGGAACTGGATGGAACTGGAACTGTTTCGGAATTCGTCCGGGTTTGCTGAATAGATACTCTAATGTCCCAGCTCTGCTTCTATGGCTCATGGTGTGCGGGGACAGGGAACCCAGTCTTCCCACTGTACAAGACTGGAAGCAGTGAAGCCGAACTCTGCACTGTGAATTTCGGAATGCCAAGAGCTGGAATGGCCAGGATCCACAAGGTCCCGGTATAGATGCACTACAACCTCGCCGCGATTGGTTGAATCAGCCATATAGCTTGAGCACCATCGGGTCTACTTGATGTCTCACCGAGTCGACCCCCATCGAGTCGAACCCCACGCCTGCCCAGTTGGAGACCGTGCCCAAGACCGCGTTGTCACAGCTGCGCACACAACCGTTGCTGGCCAAGGGCGCGAAGGCCGCGCCATCGGGGCGAAGCTCGGAGCAACCTGCGAGAGATTAGCTGGATGTCGCTGCTTCGAGAAGCACTTAGATGATCTTAGATGGGATTTGAGAGGTCTCAGATCAGAATTTGAGTGCAAACACATGCGAAAACCAATCCCAAAAAAGGTTATTAACAACTGTTGAATGGACCATTATAGACTGTATATTATATATATATATATATCTGCTTGAATCATCCCGTTCCCTTTGCTGACTGTATACGAAGCCTGGAAAGTGACGACTAGAGTTGCTACATTGTTTTGGTCGGGCGTTTCATGATGTCCGTTTTGTTCTGACTACGGCCATGATCTACTAGCCACTGCCTGACAGCTTATTGACTCTAGGAGTTCCGAATCTGACATCACTAACTGCCAAAGGGTTGAAAATGCAAACAAACAACATCACATGCCCATGTAAAATATATAGTAACATAGTACTATATATATATATAATAATTATATGTACATGAATATATATGCACATATATGTATCCGGGGAATATAGGGAGACCAGTCTCGCATACAACCAAACATGGACTGATGAAAAGTAGTGTAAGACTCTGCCCAGGAATGAACGTTCCAGAACAAACAGGGACCATGACCAGTCCAAGCCCACGTGACGCTTGAGGCACGTCTGCCCTGAATCCAGCCCTGCCTGGCACTGAGACCACACGTCCCATGCCAACCTGCCCACAGGAACCATCGGTGGATCAATCCCCACGTGGCAGGAGCGAAATCAATTCGGCTGCTGAGCTCCTCAAAAGACTCCATGATACTCAATCGTTGGATTCTTTGAGTCTATCTTACTTGCAATCCAGTCGCAAGGGCCTGGATTCCCAAAAGGCCGCAATAGGATTCTTTGAATCAATTAGCGCTTTTAACCAAGGGCGACTGGGGAATTCACTCACCCCAAGCAATACCAACGTTCAATATCTCCAAGTTTCTCCGGCAGCTATAACCTAAAGGATCCTAAAGAAACGGAACATACCACTGCTCTGGTAGTAGTGCAATAATATTTCTAGCATGAATCGTACGCAATCTGGAAAGCGGATGTTCTCCTGTGCGAGACTTTGCTTCTAGGGTTTCTGCAAACCAGTGGTAATGTGTAGTCCCATGTCGTTCAATCCCGTCCGCATTTGCTCAGCCTCGATGGTGAAAGTTTGTGGTCTCTAGAATGTGATTTTGTTTACTCATGGCTACAGAAAATATTGTATTTGAGAGTTTGAAAAAAGTGCACAAAGGCCTGCATAGAATCCCTCCTTGGCCTTGGAGGCGAAGGTACATCCTTCCGTCGATAAACATGTTTTCTTGGCCTGACCATGGATTCCTCAACAAACATTCCAAGAGCTCTTGCAGTAAATATGTCCCATCCAAGGCATTGTTCCCGTCCTGAAGCATCTGGAAATTCTCATTGAATCTGATGGAACTAACTACAATATGATATGCTACAATATTACTACATTAACTGATAATGAATAGCCGCTAGCCCAGCCTGATTCCTTTGGATGTTGTTTTGGATATAAGATGATATAAGGACTCACTCATGTTTGATTCCCCCCACTCCACTCGCTCCACTCCCCACTCCGCCTCGTTGCCTCCATCGCCCACACCCAGCGTCTTGGCGTCCTCTGCCACATGCGCCAGGCGCCGGAAAGGGGCGGTGGGCATCCTTGGCTTCACGATTCACGACGTGCCAGCTGAACCGGTTGCCAGCTGCATGTCAGATCAAAACCCGAGTACTATGTTGAAGTGCAGTTCCGAGTAGGACATCGTCAAACTGTGCCCCTGAGGCTACTCTTGGTGATATTTCAATGTTTTTGCAATTTCCACAGGTTCTTTTGACTCTACTTAACAAGTTGTTGGGCCTGTCCAAAATCACAGTCTGGAGGTTTGTTGTAAGCCAGGTGATCGTGGTCTGAAAACAACACAAACGATGAGGTGATCGTGGTCTGAACGTGCACATCAATAATACACTTGAAGACATTGCAAAATGGTCACCCATGGTCACCGCTACTACGGGGTGCCGCACTCAGAAAGTGGATTTCGTCTAAGTTTCCTTGTACCAGCAGGTCTCCCTGTTCCAATAAAATACACACCCCCTCGGCCCTCGATAGCTTCCTCCAGCACCATTCAAATAGCTAAACAACTCAGGGTGTTTGTAATTCACATTGGACAGCTCTGAAAATGATATCCACGACCAACAGCCAACACAAGAACACAAACATCATTTCTGGTGTCATACTGTTGATGGACAAAATCCTGCATCACTTTGCGCACACGTTTCTTGCTGCCCTCGTTCTCCCTGATTAACATTGGGGCCACCACAGTGAGAAAACAAACACAAGTTGAAGGTCCAAAATCCTGCACTCCTCAGAGGGGTCGCGCCAACATTGAATGAGGGGGCGCGGGGGTTGCTATGCGACCCTTCCAGGGTAAAGTGGTGAGGTGGTGCAGGATTTTGTCCATCAACAGTATTGCTATCAGTATCTTGTGAGTCTTGTACTCTTGCACACTCTTGCAATTTGAAGGTGCCATGACCATTTTTTCGAACTCACTTCAGTTTGCTGGTCAACTGGATCTACCAAGGAGCTCGGCCAAAGCTGCCCGGCATTCCTGCAAAGCAGTCTCGTTGGCATCATCTGAACCACATACTTTCGAAAGGTGGACGCAAAGTAATTAGAGCAAACAGACACTTGGAGGATTCTGGAACATTGCAGGAACAATACTTCAAATATGTTCTGGATTGTTCTGGTATTTTGTCTCTTACATCTGGGATACAATCGACCAGCTGCCTCGAACGACAGAACGGTTGACCTTTTCCCATCCTCCAAAATGGCACTGGTCACCACAACAAACAGCACCGCAGCACAGCTTCGCCGGGGTCACACAAAAACACAACACAGAAGCAACACCAAAGTCCACCAGAACATTCATTCACATCGGGGGGGATCGGCGAGGAGGGGAAGGGACCCGGAAGGGGATGGACTGTTCGATCATTAAAAAGAACAGGAGTCCAACATGAAAATGACGGACTGTTCAGTCCAAATTGGTTCAAACATGTGGCGCCATTGGTTCACCGTGGGCACCGTGGGCACCTCATTGATGCCGCACTCCACGAGTGGGTAAAGGCAATCGATGGGCTCCGTGTGCTGGCCTCGCCGTCGGAGAAGCGCTGAAATGGACGAGGCGACTGGAGGAAACGAGTTGAGGACTCTGAGTGCTCTAAACAGGGGGGGATGATTTTTGCAAATGGTTCAAAAACTAGGGGAAGCTCCACTTTGATTGGGGGTGTGGTTTTCTGACAGTGCGAATACGCTATCTACTTAACTGGCACCTTTATGTAAGAACAACATCTCCATGTGAGGTCTGAATGGCGCTAAAACGCGCTACTAAACAATTGGAATAATATTATCCTCTTGATTATGGACTCCGCTGGATGTAATCATTACATATGAGTGTGTGCTTAACATACTAAAACCAACACAACATGAATGAATAGAATACGCTGTCAAACTGTAGAGGCCAGCTTCCTGGATATCACCGCATTCCAACGGCGTGCCTATGTCTCGGCCTCGAATGTTGCGATATGGGGCTCCAAGCCGCTCCTGGGAGGGCCAACATTTTGCTGATTGGTTTCAACTCACCTCAGATGACACATGTAAAAACACAAAAAACACACAAGCAGCATTTAACAGTTTTATAGTTATACACGTTAAGATATTTTATAACTCCAGATTACAGATTCCAGATGACATCAAATAAATGACATCAAAGCTGCAAGGAAAAACTGAATCTTCCACATCCCTCCCATCCCTAATCCCCATGGCTCCAACGACAAAAGCGCATCCACTCGCCCGGCATTGTCACCCCAGGCATCTCGCAACGCATCGCCCAGCCGCGCCGACAGGCACCAGCTCCGCTCCTGCACGGTGCTCATCCGGGGAGAACAAGGGGGAAGGTCAAGGAGAAGAGCTTGAAACAGGGAGTGCGGAGTCCGATTGATGTAGATTCGGGTTGTTTCAATCTCGAAAAAACTCTGAGATCTTCTTTCCAGAAGAAACACCCGGTCGCCCAAGAATCCAAATGAGTTTGCTTATAACTTATATCCCATCAAAACCATGGTCAGAAAGCATCCGATTGGACTGGTGGGAGAGCCTAGGTAGGTTTAGGGCTCGTGTTCACCAGAAAGCTCTGCACATGGAACATGTACGAGAATCTTGACCATTTATACACCTTTACCCCTTGGTGATCTTATTCAACCCCGAAACAGGGACGTTGGAGCTTCCCGAATTCAAAGACTTCACGGCCTTCCGTCACCCAAAATGCAAGAACCTGACAGTGTGACCGATCGCCATCTGCGACCCGTCCTCCAAGGTGCTCATTTCTTTGTCACCCACCTGAGAGAGGTGATGCGACAGCTTGGACACCCGACCCAGTGTTCAGCGGGTGTAGTTCAAATTGCATAATGAGCCTTGGGGAATTATGGGTATATAATTTATATTACAATTATGTTTTATTACAGTAATATGTCCAGAATTGTCCAGAACTTGGTAGAGTGGATCGGAATGTTGGATGAATCACGTGATTGAAGTCGAGACTCAGAACTACACACACCACGTCAATGTCACTTCACTTACACGTCTTCATGGCAAATCTCCCAACCTTTGGCCAGCTTACAGTCACCGTAACTTCTCGTCCCTAACATCAAGAGGTTAAACCAGCACATTTGATCCCAGGGACAGCTAGTATTTGAGGAACAAACAACCTGTTTTACCTGTACAAGGCTGGCGCCAGCCCGGCGTTTGATGCTGCCGTGGGTCTCAAGACCAAGTCATGACATTTATGGACCACAGCTGAACATTGGGCAGAGCTGGGGCCAACAAAACAACCTACAGAAACTATGTCGAGAAGCTCAAGCTTAGGCGAGCTTAGGCCAGTGTTTGCTGATGTCATCTATGTGCACCCTCACATCATGTACACCCTTCCTTCTCATCCCAGACGTGGTGGGGATAAGGAAGGTTTTGGATGATGCTTTGGATCACTTCTTCACGAGTGGCCGGCACAGGTCCGAACTGAGGTCCAGGAAACACGGTCAAACCGAAGGTACTGACCTCTGCAAAGCTTGGTTCTGCCGACCATCTTCGCTTGGTTGTGAAACGCAGCGGTTCTAGTTTGTTGGGTTCTGCCTCCTTTGCCTCTTCATCTGTCCCAATGTTCCGTCCAAAAGCCAGAAAGGCCGTGACTGGAATGCCACCCCGCAAATCTCTCCACCGTACGGTACCTGCTTCTGTTGAGGGTGCAACTAAGTTGTCTCCCACCTCCTCATTTTGATCCAAACCGTAACTGCAAACTGGATCCTGCCTCGGCCTTTGCCGCTTCGGGCAGGGGCTTCTCTGCGGAAACGAAGGGCAAACAGCGGCTGTGGCTCTGCAAGCGAGACCAAAAGCCTCCCAACTGGTGCCCAAACAGAAACAAAGAAGGAACAAGAACTGATCCGAAAAAGGTAAGTCTAGTCTAGTCTAAAGCAACGCTTCTCTTGGCCTCGGCCAAAATCCAGTCAATGAATGTCAACGACCCGAAATTGGGTCTTTAAAGCAAACATTCCACCCAAAAAGGCTAGTCTCATACCATTTGGAGACCCGACTGGATGACCTTCTCATTCTTTGGTCGACCGTCTCATGTCTCTTCCATCTCTTTCGCCTTCATCCGCTTCCCGGAAGTGCTCCATCATGGAGTCCTAGGGTCGCGCGCAAAGGTGGTGGATTCCCCCCAACAGGATTCGATTATTGACTCCGATGCAGGATCTTTTTTGTCCCTTGTGGGAGAAGGAAAACACAATCGCGTTCTTCAAACACCTGCAAATTATCCTGCAAACATATTAGACATTTTACAGTAAAAAAACGACATACTGCGATGGGCGCAGTCTTGGTGCAAACGAACATGGAATTGGTAGACATAATGCATATATATATATTATTGTAATATAATACATATATATAATGCAATGTCCAACACACCCCTTCTGACAGCGTCGGTCATTGAGCCAAGGGTAGACCAAGTGGAAGCAATCGTGTGTGTCAAACAATGCTAGACAACTGCTCGTTTAGAATGTCAAACAACGTTTTGTGAGGAATCAAGACGTGTCCCAAGGCAAGGCATGCATTTGTTTCCTCGGATCTTGTGTTTAAAACTCATAAAGGACTCAGGCCGCCAGCGAAAGCAAGATGCGAAAACCAGAAGCGAAAGGAGGAACTTCTTCTCCCTGGAGCACATGGGTGGGAGCAGAAACGCAGCGGACTGGTAGGTCCTGGTAGGTCGGCATTGCAAGCTCAGTGCCAATGATTCACACTCCCTCCCTATGAGCAATCGCAACTGCTGAGCCAGCAGTGTGAGGTGGCGGAGAAAGAGCCTTTCCTGGGAGGCAAGCAGGTGGTCCCGAGCTCCAAAACGGACTTCATGAGCCCGACTACATTGCTTGTCAGTCGCCCGGCATCATGGCACTCAAGCATACGTAGTTCCAAAGACAACTTGGGACCGCTGGCCAGGAAATTTTGCTGGAATGAGGCCTCTATTTTGCTCCTGGACAGGCCACCCGTCACATTTGATGTGGAGGAAAGGACAGACAAATCTACTGTCAGACCTCCCAATGCCAGGCAGTCCCAAACGAGCATGCATGGAAGGCTTCCAAGGCCTTGGGCAACAGCGTGGAGGTGGAGATGACAATCAGGTCACACTACCCGCGAATTGTTCGGAGCAAAGAACCCAATTGAGTCGGATAACGTTCAACTGCCTGAGCCATCGTTCGAGCCACATGGAAAAACATGCAAAGACCAACTCCAACCATCCAATTATGTAATGACAATGATGTAGAATGTTAATGAAATTCAGGTCAGAAGGACAAGTGGAAGTATCCTAGTTACAGCCTAGTCAATAGAGCCTATAGAGGCCTTCACTAGAATAGTCACAAAATGTCCTAAGTCACAAGCTACCCTGCAGTGAATAGCATAAATCCAATCATATCAGATTTAAGAAATGTTGCAAGGTAGTCTCTGTCAGCCCAAATGCGTCGTGGCGAGAGGATATCCAGGCCATGCGTCGTAGGCCTTCTTGATGACTGGCCCATTGTGAACGTCGCAAAAGAGGGAAGCACGCACACCTGCAAGTGCTGAGCCTTCTGAGTCATTGCTGGTAAATCAAACAAGCATCGACAAGCATTGACTGGAAACATCTGGAAAGCGAAACAGAATAAATGCGGCTGATAGACACGATGCGGCTGAGGATCCACATGGAAGACTGGAACCACATCAACATTTCTCAACTCAAACGTGTGGCAAAGACATGTTTCACGGGTCTCAACATGTCTCAACCCTACGGCATCTTGCAATAGTCTGATATTCTTGAGGATCAGGTGGTTCAAAATGAACGACATGGAACAACCAACCAACCAACCAACAAACAAACATAGAGATAATCCTGTTCCTCCATGTTTTTCCCAACATGTTTTATTCCCCGCACCAAGTGGATCAGAGGATCACCATTCCCCCTGTTCTTCATAGGCCTCTGGCACACAGGGCACGCAGCACCGCCAGCGCGCCCAAGGGGCCGTCGGTCTCGCAGCCACCCAGGTCTCCGTGAGGGCCCTGTGTTCGCCGACCGGTCGTTGCAGAGCCAAAACGTCGTGGTGAAGGACTCTGCAAACAAAACACTGTGCTTCTTGCTCCTAGTAGTACGGCCAGCAGCCCCTAGTAGCGTCCTTGCTCCGTAGCGATGCCAGGAGCCCCTAGTTGCTTCTTGTTCCTAGTTGGAATCATATCCAAGAAAAGGCCTCATGTGAGATGAGAGATGTCTCCCGAGACTCTTAGACTCTAAGATGAAACAGGATCTTGCTGAAGATTGTTGTGATCATATGTGAAAACGGAATTTCACAAAGCCTCTAAAAAGATCTAAAAATAAGTTCATATCCGAGCCAGTAACTCAAAGCCCTTTTCACTACTACGAGGTCCCGGCGAAGCAACACTGCAAAATCTTGGGTTCCTGAACTGGGGACTGGGAAAAATGGTCACATGTTCGCCCCCAAAAAGACTTAAAAACCGCCCCATGTTCGTTGCATCATGGCGGCGCCGGACACGTCTAGCAACACAGCTTGCACCCTGCATGGGGGTCTACAGTATATATTACTTTTTTTGTTTTGCAGTGCTTCAGGAGTCTGTACTGCTTGCTTCCTTCTTTTCTGATTGGTGGGTTCACGCACCAGAATTGAAGTCATCGAATTACGCCAGGTTGAGGTTAGTTATATAGATGTGTCAACCGCCAACCGCCAACCAGCTTGGTTTGATCACCCAAAGATGTGGCTGGGCCGTGGTTACTCTGCCAGCCGGCAGCAAACAAAGTGGCGGCCTCAGCGCCCTTCTGATGCAGCACGAAGAAACCAGTGATGATCAAGACGTGGCTCGCCTGCATTCTCGCAGTGCTTCCTGCAAATGTGCGCTAAATGATCATGAACCTCATGAATCCAGGGCAGTCTGAGATGTCAAGTGCCTGCACTGAGCTCATGACCGTCAAACATGTCCGTGACTCGGGGTTGATGGCATAGGACTTAAGATGCATCAATGGGAACATCTTGACACAGCGACACACTCTGGATATTCTTTCAAGAGGGGTCATCAAGGCGTTGCAAGCACATACTAATAGAGAAGTACGTAGTTAAATCATGTTAAATCCCTTAGGACATTCATGTCTTTCAACACGTTTCTCTCTATGTGAGGCATTTAAAGGGACCACCATTCTTTGCCCACCTTCTGCAAGGTGGTCACGGCCTCAAAGAGACTCGGCGCCCGGCCATGCTGCACCGCCTGCGGAGCTGCCCACCATGGGCCCATGAGGTCAGCTGGAAAGGTTTGACAAAAAGGCTCTCATGAAGCGATCCATGAGGAGCCAGCAGGTGGATTTTCTCATGAACGACCGATCATGGTCATGTCAGCCATGTGGATAGCTCTAGACTCTAGACTCGAGAATTTGGCGGCTAGGGCAAGGGTCAACCACTTAGTTCCACCCGAAACATATATTCAGGACATACCATTACCATGCGTCTACTGGTCAATAAAGAGATTTTGTGAGCACCTGGAACATTTGGGACTCTTGTCAACACCGAACACTACACACGTCCAGGACGGACCCACCAACCACCTGCCCGGCTGACCAGCCTTTTGATAGATCTTCTCAATGTTGCGACCTCGAAAGCAACGACGACGTGCGATCGCATTCCACCCGCGCGGTCACCACGTGCGATCGGTGCATCCAACCAAAGCGTTTGGGGACTGTTTATCATACTTCGGGACAAGCTGCCGATTGGCGGGGTTTGACCAAATCTGAGCTCAGGTTGGCCTTCCTATATTGAAACTAAGAACAAACCAGTACTAAAAGGTGGTGCTGAATACTTGATTGTATACTGTATAAGTTGTTCAACGCAAAGACAAACATTGGCCTGAAAGTGGCAGCCTGCACATCCGACGAAGTGGGTGCTCGAGCACAGCGTTCTTCTCGATTTCACACCGTCTGACATCGCTCGTCTCGTCGCTGCGCTCCGCGAAGAGCACTTGATCGAGTAGGGTTTACTCATCTCCTGTTCCGCTGCATCCGTCTGGGTTGGCGGATGACATCGGATGACCTCCCGGTACGGCGGATGACCTTCCGGAAGCATACCAAGCTTTGCCCTTCACCCGCTTTGCCCTTCGGTCGCCGATCCCGCTGCAACCCAGGCGCCACAGTAGCTACCGCTATACTTAAAGCCCATTGCCAATTCTCCATCAATGACGGGCCCCAGCTGGGCATATGCCTTGTAGTCGTCGACACCTTGAGTGAAGAAAGTTTGGGTCGAAAGCCCGGCTGAGCCACTCACTGAACTGCTTCATGTTCAAAAAGCTGCTTATAATCTATAACTTATACTTGTACTATCTTATACTAGTATTAGTATGTTCAAATACCCGGCACGGAATCAAACAACTTCAATCATAGAGCAATGAAAACTGATCAATCAAGTAATCTTAATTACATACCACAGAGTGACACTGCTTTCTTCAGCACACATAGACACTCAAATTGTGCGAACTCCGGGGGGCGGTATCCAACAGGTGATAATGATCATGTCCACGTTCAACACGGTGCTCTCCCAAAGAAACAAATGAGGGTTGGCTGGCTGACGTTTAAAATACCTAGAGCTTGAGTGACCTCCATTTTGGATCACCATCCACCTAACCCCAAATGTGGTCGCTTCCAATCAAAACAAAGGTCAAAATGAGCTCTTTAGGTATAATGATGTAAATATAATATATATATATACTATACACATGGGTCCGCGATGGTCCGCGCAAAAGGGCATGAGACCGATGACTAATCACTCATATCTGCCCCTCTGCCGGAGGCCAGAAGCCGGAAAACAAAAATGTCTGTTCTGGAGAGGAATTTCCGGGGCTTCGAAGCATCCTTCATGTGTTGAGTTCTATTATATCATATCTACATAGTTCTAGGATGTTCTATCCAATCATTCATTCATGATTTGCCAGTGGCAAGGAGCTAAATACGCACGCAATTTCCATAGCTTTTACCCTTGCAGCTGGAGTAGCCATGGCTGATATGACACCCGTGCTGGAGTAGCACTACTGTTCTGAGCTTCCGATGATGGTTGTTCTTCTTGTTCTCTGACTCAAAACAGGGCGACTATTGGCTCTTTGAAACAATGACATTGTCTAGTACCTTCCAGTTCATTTGTTTGTAGATTCCAGTTCATATTTGCGGTCTTCAAAAAGTTCTCTGCAACATTATGCAACCATCTCACCAATCTGAACATGTAGTAAAATAACGTGAAAGCCATTCAAATTGTCAGGTCAAATGAGGGGTCGATGGTCATTCTGAGACGGGCAATCACATGAAACTCCTTTTAGTGTGCCTTTCATTTGAGGTCCCACCAGGAACCACTGCTACGAGTCCACCGGAAACTAAAACCTACCGATGACCACGTACTACCCTTTGATTTTTGACCGTTTCGTAGCTTTATAAAAGGCTCAAGCCTGGCCACGAGGCGCGGGATCCGACGTGGAACAAGTCTGTTCAGATGCCAAGGGATCAAGGGGCAGCTCTCTGGTCGGTCCACAGGGGTCCCTAGAAGTTTCCATGACCCACTTGACCTCACCCGGTCGTCATGAAACTCAGTTGAGTGGATGTCAGCAGTTGCGACCCGCCCAAGAAAAACACACGAGACCCTCTGGCCCAATCTTGGCACTTCTGGTAGTTTTTGACATTCTTTACGCGCAAATGGTCGCGTCCGTATCACATCCGGTATACAAAGCCAGCCACCTTCCGTCAGCACTTCTCAGCATTTTGGCTGAGGTGCCGTCCGCATGAAAAGCACCAAATCCAGCTGGGCCAAAGCTGGGTTGACCAACAATTCAGTGCATCAACTCAAACCACACCACGATCATCCAAGGGGTGTCCAATGTGTCCAACCTTGTCCAACGTGTCTGACTCTGCTGAACGAAGGGCTGGTTTCTCCCGCTCTCCGCTCTCCGACCACTGCAAATCAACTTTTTCGGAACGTAAACGACCAGCCGCCGCTTGGGCGTTTCAAACTCGGCGCTGCCAGGACCTGCGCCACGGTTCCTTTCGTGGGTTGTGGTCTATTCAGTTATGTTAGATATATTTGGTAGACAACCAAGGGGTTTTGACACACAGTCAAAAATATCAAACCATATTGTACAAGTCGGACTGATCCTCCCCTCCTCTCTGAATGCCTAGTGCCACCTTTAATGAGCCTCTTTAGCCCCACAAGAACCCTGCAAACGTCCTGTCAGGTCCTAGTGCTTAAAGCTATTGAACCCAAACCTTACAGTAGCACCCCCTCACCCCCCCTTGAACCAAAAAAACAACAAACAAAATCCTGTGTGGAAACCCCTACTTGCAGCATGCAGCTTTGGTTCGATTTCCAATTGCTCCTTTCATTATCTTTCAGTCAACACTCGCATGCACCCAATCAATTTGGCTAGATCGTAGACTCCGTAGACCTTTGAAGCCTGACAACCAGCATCATCACCACCAACACGACTGCTCAACTTTGTACCATTTTGAAGTTCAAATCTACCAGTCAGCCAAAAACGCCTTGCCTCCCCGGGCCCCAATCCACCAGTCAGAATTTACCTGAAAACGTCTGAAAGAACGCAGATCTCTAACTGCAAACACAAGCTGCACCTAGCCCTACCTCTCCCTACGACTTGTGCCCCCAAAAAGTTTCAGGCTTCCAGACTTCCGGATCCTATTAGTAAGCAATGGCCTCCAACCTAATAGCGATAGCCTCCAACCTGGAAGCAATGGCCTCCAACCTAGAAGCAATGGCTTCCAACCTATTGTCTTATGGGGTCCAAAATCAAACGAACCCGGGGTCAACATGCTTTACTAGGTCGACCGGATTGCTGCTACTGATCCAGGATTCGGCTTCTCCACTTACGTCACCCATCCACCTCCATGTTAGGAAGCCTCCAAGACACCCGCCTGGGAAACCTCCATCAGTCGTGCATCTGCGGCCACAGCCTTTTCTCTGTACGCGCTTCTGGACAGCCCCACATGAGTCGTTTTGGAATGTTTTGGATGGATGTCTTCTTTCAACTCCGATGGGTCCGCGCGTAGTGAAGGGCCCTTACTGGCCCATCTTCCGACCCAAATTGGCAAACAAACAATCGCCAACAAACACTGCCTTTAAACAACACACACATCATCTTGGCCGGTTTTGACCCCACATCAACTCCTTACGTAGCGGCTTTGACTCTGTCAAGCAACTAGTACATCATCAATCATCAATATCTATTTATATAAACAAGTCTTGTACATCCGTCCATTCGGCAGTCAGGTAACCTGCATCTACAAGTCACAGCAGTCACAGGCCCAGTACTGCCAAAAACGAACTCATCGGGAATGCCACCAGTTCTCTAGGTCTGAGGTCACGATTGAAACTCCAAGGGCGAAGTATCCGGCTCCAAGTGCCTTCCCGCCACAGTATCTTTGGTCACTATCCTCGCATGTCTCACCTTGACTCATCTCCAAAGGGCTTTGATAATGAGTGAACAGCTTTTGACCAACTGGGGACAACTTGGGATGGAAGGTTTCTCGGCGGCCCTCCACCTGGTTCTTGCGCCACCTGGTGTCTATAAAACTAGCTTTTGAATGCTGTTGAGTTTTGAGGGACCCAAATTCACCGGTTGGAGAGTGTAACAACCATAGTATCACTTTCTCTCTCTCTCTCTTTCATACTTCCGGTTTTCGTACAAGCCGGTTCAGTGTATCCACCGGCTCATGTGGCTTTCTTTGGAAAGCTGGTTACACTCCCCCAAAAAGGAAAGGCTGACCCCCTCAGTTTCTCTGGAAATAAAAGCTGCTCTTGTTCGGGATCGTCGAAGAAATGATTGGAGGACCGACTCCGCTCATTTCTTCACCTCTCTTCAGGACATGGGGATTGGACGAAATCACGGACTGCTATATAATAACCATAGCCACCAAACGGGTCCAAACTCCTTACGGGCTTCACAAGGAGACAACACCATCCCGACTCACCCGAGACTCCCTCATCGCTGCTCATCCATGGCGTCTTGAATCTTGACGAAAAAAACCCCCCGCACATGGATGCCTTGCGGGCAGGTACGCATCCACGCAAACCCTTGTTGTATGACGGGGGTTCCAAGCCTCTTCTACCTGAGGGGTTTATTGATCAAGATTCAAGATCCAATGCCGAGACGTGACCAGCGGGTGGGAAGGACGGCCCCCGGTTTGCGCTGTCGCCATCATTCCTTTGCAATCGAATTGTTGGTCCAAACCGGTCGACAGTATGCAAGGTGGCCAAAGACGATCCTTTTTTGACCTGTGGGCCCGACAGTGGGGCAAACGTCATCAAATGCCAGTGGTCTGGTGGGCACAAACAAAACACTCAGATGTCCGTAGAGTAACTTTGGCCTTTGTGATGGACCCGCGGCAAAACAAAAGCCAGCAACTGCCATAGATGCAGTTCTGCTGAGCGCGACTGGTTGGTCTTACAAGTCACAGCAAGACCTCGCGCGCAATATCCTTGAAACGCATTTTGGGTGTGGCTCTATTGGACTGTATTGAGCTCTATGTTTCACCACGGTCCTTTTTGTTTGCAGCGAAGGCGGTTCTTGTCTCGTGAGACAAACAATGGTTTCGGTTCACAGAATCCATGACCAACATCAGTGGTATTGGGACGTATTGGGTTTCCAGGATCCCGGCAGGGACAGCAAAAAATCCAATATGGTATCATTGTTCGGCGCAACACCTGATCAAACAGCGGCCACAGCAAACATATTGTGAGAGTTCCTTGGCTTAAAATGGGAACAGTACCTACTAGGTCACCTTGTGCTGTAGGTGCTAGACATTGTAAAACCAAATACTATATAGACTGTCATTTGTCATTCTTCCACGGGGCAAAAACAACTACTTCATAGAATATAATATACAGTACAAGTGTTGAAATACTTGGAGCTCTCTTTGGTGAGAATAGAACATGAAGGGATTCTCTTCTAGGTCGAGTCCTACGCATGTTCACATGAAGAAGGATCATCAAGATCATTAAGTCAGTTGGAAAAAAACCTACTAAAGGACCTGGAATCCCAGTGGAACGCAGGAAGCATACATTCTATTTTTATGAGCAACAGGTTGCCTAGAAGCAGGTGCTGATAAGATCTATTGCGTTGCAAACAACATCCAACTCATCTCGATTGAGCAGGCAATCTCCGCGCTGATCTCTCTTTGGGAGCAGGTATATATGTTCTTATGAGGTTCAAGTACTGCTTCGGATTTTCTTCGGGTATCTGTTTGTACTTCCTGAGGGAAGAACAGGCAAGAACATGAACCAGGGTCATCGAACGGGCAAGTGTGTAAAATGCAGTTGACATGTTGACATTACAAAAAACGATCAAACGACTGTCCAATGACTAATGCGAGAAAAGAGCAAACAAATCACAAGTTCAAATCGAATTGGTAGAATCATGGAGAATATATGTATATAGTAATACCATGTAATAACATATATAGTAACCATGCATGTGCATATAACCAGACACGGTCATGGCAGGATTCACTTCTCCTGCGAAATGCAAACCTCACCAAGTTAAACATGGCGAGGATGTAGCAACTCCACACCCTCAGGGGCAATGCAAAAATGCCCTAAACTCGAGTGTGCTACTGGCCTCTAGCCAGCAAAGGTGCCAAGTCTAAGCTTTGCACAACTGAGATGGCCCACATGTTAGGCCGCATCCGTATGTGCAAAATATTGCAGAATCAAAGACTTTGCAACATATGAATTTCGTTCGAATACCTTCCGTTCCGCAGCTGCGCCCCTCTCACAACACTCCAGGAACAGTTGAAACATGTTGAAACAAAGTCAGACGATCATTTTGCGATGACTGTCGTTTCCGCTCCGCTTAGCAAATGAACATCCTTCCTGAAAAAGCGCCTGTGAGGGGTGAAATCGCAAATCTCTCTCTGCGCCCAAACTTACTGAGCATGGCCCAGCTGCTACAAACACAAAGAGGGTCTCCAGTATGTAGGATGTCCCGGAGCAACATTGGCCAGAATCAAACACTGATTATCAAATGAAACGCAAGTGACATCTGGAAACATCTGATCGTTTGTTTGGGTTCATGATTTCTTCAATTTCTTCCACTGAAACGACCTCCCACCTGGCAGAAGGGGGTGACGTTGTTTTTGTGTTGCAGCGCTTTCATATGGTGATTCCGTGGCAGGCACGGCACTTTGAGCACCGTCAGCTGCAGATTTCGTGGTAAGAGCGGTACTTGGCGCACTGGAAGTGTAGATTCTGTGGCAGGCGCAGCACTTCGTAAACTCGAAGTGCAGATTTTGTGGCAGGCGCAGCACTTCGTGAACCTCGAAGTCAGATTTTGTGGCAAGCGCAGCACTTCGCGAACCTCGAAGTGCTAATTTCGTGGCAGGCACAGCACTCTTGTGCACTGGACGTGCAGATTTTGTGGCTGGCGCAGCACGTCGTGAACCTCGAAGTGCAGCTTTCGTGGCGGGCGCAGCACTTCGTGAACCTCGAAGTTCCTCGAAGTGCAGATTTCCTGGCAAGCGCAGGTGATGACCCTTGACAATTATCTCTGCAATTTCATATGATGATGGCGACGAAGATGGCGATGACGGTGATGATGATGATGATGATGGTGATGATGATGATGATGGTGACAAGTCATCAAGAATCAAGAAGATGATCCTGAATGTGATGTCTAAAACGATGGTAAAGATGATCGTTAGACAGTTGAAGTAAGTTGGTAGCCGTTCTTTGAAGGGGAACCCTTCTCAGCTGCTTTCTGGGAAGATAAAATCCAGCAGCAAGCACCGAGGACCATGAAAGGATGATTGCAACAAAAATGGCGAGGGTGTGCAACACTTGCCGTGTGGATATGCTATGGGGTGTTAAGAAGTCGGTCACGGCAGCCGATGATTCTTAGATCCAGATGCCTGCCTCGCGCTCGCCTCTGCCTCTTCCAAAATCTTACCGGTGTGCTACAATGGAATGGCGTCTGCGTTCTCTAAATTTTGCCGTGGGCTGGCTCGGAAAAGGTCTGCTACATTGGAGCGGCCAATGCCTCCTTTAAGTCTTACCCGCTGCTACAGTGGAATGGAATCTACCTCCACACCGCTGCTTCCTTTCTCCCTTCCTTCTTTCCTTCCCGCAGCTAGGCCTGAAAAAATATATATGCAACTAAAATGAGTATACAACTAATGTATATATATATATATAGCCTCCAAATCAGTGAATGAAGCCACGAAAAGCAAACAGAAGCTAACCGAAGCCACGAAAAGGCTACACACGCCACCAAAAGCCACCTGAAGCCACAAGCCACCAAAAGCCAAAAGCCACCAAAAGCCAAAAGCCACCAAAAGCCAGAAGCCACCAAAGGCCAAGAGCCACCAAAAGCCAAAAGCCACCAAAAGCCAAAAAGCCACCAAAAGCCAAAAGCCACCAAAAGCCAAAGCCACCAAAAGCCAAAAGCCACCAATAGCCAAAAGCCCCCAAAAGCCAAAAGCCAATAGAAAGCTCTCACACCACAATAAACGATGAAAAAAACAAAAAGGCAAGAAAAATCATTCAAAAATGGGTGAAGCAGGACGGCAGGGCCTGACAGCCTCTGTGCCTCGATGCAGTGCTGGGCCTCTGCGCGATACCAAGCGTAGCCGTGGACCGCGGTTGGATTCGTTTTTGAGCACACTTTTCCAACCCTGACAAACAGGTATGAATGGGCAGCTGTTGCTTGCGCCCTGGGGGCCATTCCATGCTTGTGGTGTCTCCAATCGTGGTGTCATCCATCTTTTTCTGCCAAAGAACCAAGAACGTCCAAGAGCCATGTTTGTTGACATGAAATGCTGGATATCCGCAACGAAGGATATCCGCCATGAAGTTGAAAGGTTGTTACAGCACACGAACCATTATCATCATTGGTGCTTGGAACGTAGCAATTGTTTGAACCCGTGTCTGTTGTTCAACCCACCAAAACAACGTTGAAACCACGAATGCTAATTAGTTGCTGGACTAGGCGATATATATATATAATATATATATTCTTCAAAGAACAATGGGCATTCTGAACAATTTTTTACTACACCCCAAAACATTCCTGCAGGCCAAAAAGAACAAAAAGTTGGTATGAGGCTCATTTTGTAAAACTATAACAATTACACACACATATATATATATAGGTATATGTATATATATATATGTCTTAACTGCAAATAGAAATACATGGTAACATATGCGGTGGTTGATCAATATTTCTTTCATCCTGGAATGGCCATTCTTCGCGGAAAAAAGATATCTTTCGTGGATCTTTCGCGGCCTCATCGCGAAGCATGGTCCTACAACCCTGTCTAGCTAACATGAGCCGGAACATGTCATAGTATCACAAAATTGGGACAAACATCTTGCAGCATGACCCCAGCAGAAGGTTGAAAGTTTGCACAGCTACTCAGGGTCATTTGCAGCATCTGTGCGACAAAAAAAAATCAGGTACAAACCCAATCCTTGTGCCAGCTACCAACACAGGGTCATGCAGCTTGGGGAGTGCTGGAGGGCCTCAAGCTGGGAACCTGGGTTTTAGCAGCACATTCGTGAAGCTTTCGCGGAGTTTTCGCCAAATTTCACTGGTGCTTTGCGGGGAAGCACCCACGCTTTGCAAACATCTGCACAGCCCGTCAGAGCAGCTGCAGGTCGTTGCCTCACTGTCAGGGCTGCGCCAACTCAGGCTGCTAGTCTGTGGCAGTGGGGACAGGAATCGGAGAATCCTTTACACGCTGCCAGGGCTGGGCACGGAAATGTTGAGGCTTCAGTTCGTTAGTCTGTGACAATGGGGACATGCGGGGACACTTCCGCCCACCGGCTCTGCCGGAGGATTGCCTTGTATTTCTATTCTTTGTCAGTCGGTGGAAAGGAAAACAAATGAAAGCGATCACCTTCGATAAATCTTTTGCGGAAAGAAGATCTCATCGCAAATCTTCCGCGGATGGTTTTAACAACATCTGAAAGGCTCGGGGTTTTAGATCAACTCCCATGTATAGGTCGTCTGAATCTGACTTGCCAACATCACTACATCTACCCACCACGAGACCCCATTACCGGGTAGTACACTTGTACCGTGACCGCATAATATATGTACATGTTTCCTGTTTTTACGTGCTTCCTGCAGAAACATGTTGGATTCCCAGCAATTCTCTCTTGGACCCCACAGTCAGTGATTGAATCGGCTGCTTCCCAGAAATCCAGTATGGGTTCAAATCGGATTCAATCGGCCGGTGCTTCCACCATCCTTGACCCCTTCTCGACAAGCAGAAGTGACTCAAATGACAAAGCTGGCTCAGAGCTGAAAAACGATGTCTGATCCTGGACAAGGCGTTGTCGATGCCGGTGTGATTCAGCGCCAGGCCACGGACCTTGGTCAATCCTTGGGTAAAACCAGCATTGTGCACATAATGCCTGTAACAATAGTCGTTGGGTGACTTGAAGCAATCAACCTTGGCACCACATGACCTGCCCTAGGTATCTTCTGGAGCGTTGCTGGATGGTGGGGTTGCCCAAAGCACGCATGCGGTAAACCTGCAGGTGTATGGTTGGCCCACGTGTTTCATCACCTTATATAAATTCAGGCCAAGTCCACCTTACAGCGGGATAGTCCGGTGCACATGAAACAAATCCAGTGTAACAGTGTAATGTGTCAGGATCAGTCGACTGCGCAACAGCAGGAGGAAAGCTGACATCTACGCAGCTTTGGGTGGATTTGGGCCTACTAAACAAACAGCAGCATTTCATGCACTCTCAAGAGAACATCAAGGTATAGGAAATACATGCTGTAATATGATTATAATGTAGGAAAATCCTGCTTGCCTGGGAAGTCTGTTCACCCGAACAAAATGTAAAACAACAAAGAACCGGACTTCTTCAGCTGGCTGCATTATATAATCGGTTCCTGACATCCCAATCAACGGACATTGCGCGCTGGGCCAGATACTTCTCCTGATGGATCCTGTTTTGCAAGGACTTTTTTTGCACCACAAGCGCCACAAGAGGCCTACATTCTTACCACTCGGACAGGGCCGGTCAACGATTCATGTTTTGGGTAATCCCATGCAAGGTAGCAGGGACACATGTATGAAAGCGACTAAGGCGCGCCTTCGAACGCCAATTTCAACACAACATAACACAACCCACACAGGCACCCCGAGTGATTGGGACTCGAAACTTATCCACTCCTCGAAGTTCAAACTTGGGCATGAGAAAGCGGGCGCCGTCCGTCATATCCATCGGAGGAGTGATTGGCGGGGTCAACGGAGGAGTCTGCCTTGGCTTGATTGACAGCAGTTCAGCCTTTTTTGATCTTTTTAGCAACCAAATTTGCACTAGTAACAAGTGCATCGCTACTAGTAACGCTAGCAACAAGGGCATTACTACTAGTAGCTAGAAACTACTACGAGTAGTAACAAGAAACTACTAACCATGGCACTAGTTTGTCAAATTGCAAGCAATTGTTTGCACCTTCTCAGTCTGATTGTAGATTGGCAAAAGACGGCGAACTCGGTATGGACAAAACCATCGTTCCATTCCTGTCTATCACGTCCGTCCAGTGGATGACCAGATGCGTGGGCCACGAGCTAGACGATTTGGTTGGGACAGTGCGGAGGTCCAAAGCGCAAGAGGCTCCAAGCCAAGGCGATGCGCTAAGTTGTTAAGACTCCTCTGTGTGTGTATGCTTTGAAAAAACTGTTACTGGTCACAGCAGGGCGACCAGCTTGCGAGGAACATTTGCTGTGCAAAGAAGGCACAAAGAAAGAGAGAGAGAGAGAGAGCGCAAGGGTATAAGACATCAAAAGCGCTGCAAGTTGGTGTGTGTTTTTGTAAAAGGTTTTGAAGGTCGCAGTAGGTAGAATTGCTCTTTCCATTTCCTGTAAGTCCTTTTCCTCTTGTTTTTTCTTCTATAATAAATTTCCTCCTCCCGTTTCTCCCTTCGCTGCTGGCCCAGTGGGCGACCTTTAGAGCGCCAATTGGAGCAGAACGGCGAAGAAGCAACCTCTGCAAATGCAGAAGCGTTCAGAAACCAAATTGCAGCAAGGTGAGCTGGAAAGAAGCAGCAACAACTCAAAGCAGCAGAAAAGCAACTAAACCCATGAGAAACCAAAAGAACATGCCGGCCAACATCTAGGAACCAAATCATTAGTGCGAGCGCGCCTTCCTGCGTCCTAGCTGCAAGCTTTCTATTGCTTACTTACTTAATTAAGTAGATAAGATAAGATAAGTACAAGGGCGACAAAAAAAGAAAGATATTGCATGTGCTTCACGGATTTGCCATGTGACGGCTCAAAGGCCTCAGGGGGCAAGAATCGCTGATGCCCAGGCTCAAGGCATGGGCTCATGCGCTTGGCTTTGGGTGCCTCCGATGCACGAGCCTCCAATGTGACGTGATGCGTGCAACCGACTGGCGAGCGAGAATATGCACTCAGTTTCTTACATGGGTAACAAACTTATGTACTTGGCAATCTTGTCCAATCCTTTTGCTTTGTTGTTCTCTGCATTCGTCTGAATAAAGGGAAGGACTGCATTTGTACCTGCCAAAAGGAAGGACTGAAAACACCGCTGGCGATCCAATGAGCCATTTCATTGCCCCAAGGAGTCTTGACAGCCTCGGACATGACCCCGCCCGAATCGGGTGGACCCCAATGGCCGGCCTTGGAGGGTGGAGCCTTGTTCGCGGGCTTCCGTGCCATCGAGCCCGGTAGGTTTTCTAAGAACTGCGATAGCATGTCATCCGAGACCTGGGCAGATCCCAACTCGCGCGGGGGAACCCAAAATCGCGCATGGCTAATTTGGTGTGGAAAGCCACTGGGGAAGATCAGGTAGTGGTTGAAGGGTTGAGACTCGAAATCATTAAATCAAAAAAGAAACACAAACGATGTGAAAAGGATACAAACAAAAAGCCACTGACAACTTGGGGTCAAAAGATTGACAATGGGCGGGACATTTCTCTGAACAATGTTAGTGACAAACTCAGATTTTACATTTAAATCATAGCAAGTCTGAAAACATCTGAATCACTCATTTCCATGGTGGAAGATAATGATGCTGCTGGTGCTGCTGCCAATGATTATTGACAGTAAGGGCATCATGAGGTGTGCTGACTAAGACACTGGGCATTGCACAACCGCTATCCATCTCAATCAACAAATGGGGCTGGGGCTTTGCCCTGGGCCGCTCCTTTGGGGGCTCGCTCCACGCGTGTCCAGTCCGATCCAGTCTCGCTGGGTTGGAGCGAATTCGAAGCTGCAGCGATAGGAAATGTAGAAACAACCACAGTCCAGTGCAGCAGGTTGCACTAGTAACTTTAGCAGTGTAAATAAGTTGTGTAAAAATGCTGTAAGCATTGAGCATTGATTGATTGCACCACCGAACAGGCCTTGCTTGGCAACCTTGCGATCTTGGTTTGTGTGTGTGTCTTCTCGTTGGGTGGGACCCCTTCATGAATCGCACCGTGCCACGACCTAAAAAAGCGACAAACGGTGTTTCGATGTTTTTTTCACTCTTGAAGGACCCTTGGCATGCTGGATACATCAAGAGACTCTTGGCACGGGGGGCCCGATCTTTGGGCCAGGCGGCGAGAGTTTGGCATGCCAAGCTCAATGGGATCTCCTCATTGTTCACAAAGACCAATGGGAGAGTTTCGTAGGTACTCATCTGGCCTTGGAAACCAATCACCTACCGCTCCCTAGTCCATTCTGCTTTTGTGTGTGTATGTGTTGTTTTTTTCAGATAGGATAAACCACGGTTCTGAGACGCTCTCGCACTCCAGCTCTGGCACTTAACTCAACTCACTTAGCAAAGCATGAAATTCTGGGCGAGAAACCGAATCATTGGAGCGTGGGGAAGCACATGTTTGTCACCAAGAGATTGCGTTTGCGGCCTTTTGTTCAGTCTGATCAGCCTGGGTCAGTCACTCTGACCGTCTGATTGGTGCACGAAATCTTGTGCACGCGAGGTGGATTGCTCCACAAGGTTGTCAAATCACCGAACGGGTTGGTTTTACGGGAGGATTGTGGAGGATTGGCTTGGTGAAGGAAAGTCCTCACAAGTTGCCGTCCCACCATTCTGTTCGAAACAGCTCAGCGTTCGGAAGCCCAGGTAGATTTGGTCAATCATGCGCATCATGCGCTTCGAAAAATCTTTGGGATTTTGGTTCACCTGATGGTATTGCCTGTTTCTGTATCGAACTCATTTTGAACAAACCGGGTGGCACATATTCTGCCACATCCAAAACATCAGGGTTTGTTTTGAAGGCGCGGAACATTCAGCTTGCTGCTGAGTGCACCTTGGCACACCTCGGAAGGTGCGGTTGTAGAACGCTGGAGTGTGGAGATGTAGGATCCAGGCTTCTGCTGACTTTTTGTGCGTCTGGTAACAATCTTGGACATCGCTTATCGCTGTGTAGCGTTCAAAGAAACTGCGCACAAACTTCTTCGGGTGAACATTCTTCAGGCGCATATCCTTGAATCTCATCATTAGAAGAGCAAGCTCCTCTAAATGCCCGCTCTGGATCAGTGCTTCCGCCACTTATGATAGTCCAGAATGGCTGGAAGCACTGATCCAGAGCGGGCGTTTAGAGCTGTGGATCCGATGTTTGGACAAATCGAAAGAATCGTCATCCTCATCCTTTGCGACGTTGTCACGTTGTCATCCTCACCATCGTTCCCCTCATTCTCACACCAAAAATCCTGTTCCTCTCTTCCTCTTCCTCTTCCTCTTCCTCTATACCAAGACTTCAACTCGCCTTTGAAAGAATCTTCACAGAACACGGTCGAATCATCACAGAGCACAGCCGCAGGTTCGTCGCGGCTGCGCTCTATCATGATTGGATAGTGTTCTGTGAAAATTCAAATCGCATCCGTTTCCAGTCCATGATCAAACGGAGAATGCCGAGTACTAGAAAAAATAGTACGAGCAACATTGGTTTGGTTCTATTTCTGGTGTGTTTAGTCGTGCATTCTGTGCCTTGCTGTGTCAAAACACTTTGCTACCCCTGGTGTTGAGCCAAATTCTTCAATCGGTTCTAAAACAGGTACGCTTCTGTGCAGTTTCCTCTCAACAGAATTGAACCCTAAATTGTCTGTTGGTGGGTGATTCATTGAAGCGTTTCTTCTGTTCTCCAGTCACACCTCTCAGTGATATGGACAACAGGAGAAACGCACATATGTTGACCAGCAGTGTATGCTGCTATGATATATATATATATATATTAATTATATATATATTGTATATGTGTTTAAATGCGTGACAATGTGGCAATACAAACAACTTGTCAAGGATCATCGAGTGCATTTCGAGATCTCTGTCTCAGTGGGCCAAAACCAAAGGCTAGACCAACACACGCCCACTTCTAAACGAGACGCTTGCGGCTCGTTGGCCAGACCTACAATGAAAGCCCTAGACTCTAGACTAAAATAGTCTCTGAAAGTAAAGGGTATTGTAGTTGGATTCCAAGGCTTCGGCGTTTGCTGTCTGTGTGTGCCAAGTGTTTCTTGGTTGCAGGGGTGCTTGGCAATTGCTTGATAAGCAAATGCAAACATGGATGTGTCTTGAAACAGGGAGACGCCCAGAAGACCTGCAGAAAAAGTACTTGCATGACATGTCGGTAGACCATGCGCAATTCTGCCTGTCGGACGTTTGAAAGGAATTCTGCAATCTACCTACGTATACTCTTTATACTCATACTCTACTCAATGAAGAATCTAAAGGAGGCTTCCATAAGCAATTAAATGATAATTAGAAACGAACACATCTTGAACAGACAGGGGGCTGTTCGGGGTCACCAGCCAGGACCGACCTCGGAACGCCCAAATGTCTCGCCGAGTGACAGCACTTGGCACAGAAATGGGCCAAATTCGCCTCCAGGAATATGGGCTTTCGCTACAGAAACAACAAAAATACAAACGCAAGACATCAATACATGCCGATTCTAATATTGGAACGTGCAATACCAAGACTCTATTATGATGGGTGTGCGGTGTGCAGGGCAGTACGAATCCTTCAATTTTAAAGTACTTTCAGCAGACTCATCCCCAAAGTAGCGAACATCGAGATGAATCCAGAACACTTCACACACACAGTTCAATCTATGGGTTGATGGCTGAACTCTTCTGCAGCCAGAGAACCAATTAAACTAAACCCATCTCAAAAGTGAAAACACGTTACAACGACGATCGTCCCAAACTCTTCCCGTCTCGCCGTGTCGCCTCCAGTCCTTTGTGCAAGCCTTCACGAACATCAGCCACGGGTACGCCGGGCACACCTGGAGGGTGCGAGCGCCAAGCGTCTCCAGTGGTCCAGGGACCAAACGAGCGCCTCACTACCAATTGATGCATTGAGCAGTGGTGGTTCGGAGGAAACCCTGATCTTGAGGCCACACAGCCGATCAATGTCTCTCCATTTCACATCCATGCATGCGCCTCTCACTTCGACCACCCCGGAAACCATCGACTGCGAATCTGCCAATGGAATAATGGAATCCATGACCCTCCACTTGGGGGCATCTTAATCCATGAGCCTCCACAAATCCCGGGCATCTGGGCTGTGCCCGGCTCATCTAATTTCATGACCCCGGCGGCCACGTCCAATGGCCCAGTTGAATGCGCAAAGCACAAGGTGAGCCCGAGAACCCACAAACACAACAGCGGCGTGCTATTTTTTTTTGAACTGTAGGTGAAATCTCGACGCGGGAGCACAAAGCAGAACATCCAAGCCAGGAAGCAGCAAGCAACCACAAGATACCAAAAATGATCCAAAAAGGAAAGCAACATAATATATGAAGAGAATATGAAGCTTTCAGTGAGGAAACGAAAAGAAACACCTCGCAGCCAGATACGTTTTGCATCATCCTTTGCAAGTTGAGGGTCCAGTCTATCAGTGTCTCTTGTCCTTTGCGTTGCAAACACACCTTGAATCCTATTGATGGGTCGTGTGAAGTTTGTTGACCTTTGGGGCTATTGACATTCAACGGCTGAAACAGGTGGCCTGAAACAGGTTCTGATGCGGCCGGAAAAGACGCAGCCATGTGCATAGTTATGTGCGGAGAGCATCTTGCCCGGTGGCTACAAACTGCCACGACTTCGTGATGGTGTTACGATCCGTCCCGGTATCATGTTTATCCATTCACCGGGGCGAGCAAAGAGACCATCTGTCATCTGTTTCACTGTTGGATCTGCAGATGCAAAGGCCGCTGGCTCACTGCTGTCTTCTTCGTCACTGTTGTCGACTGGGCCATGTAGCATGAATCATTGCAAAAGACACAGCTCTCAAAATAATTGGTTAGAATATGTTAGATTGTATTTTCGACCTTACACAAAATAATCGACGATCCACACGACCATCATCCCCAAACGGCACGCATTTTCACATCCAGCCAGCTCATTTGCTGCGCCAGTAACCAGACCTAGAGATTCTTTGGGACAAAACACGGTCTTTTGGGGTCCCGAAGTGATGCACTGTGGAAGGCCTTCCGCGCCTGCGATGCATTTCATCACTCGAAAGCAAAAGTCACATGCTTCGTGACTTGTAAAGTTCACCACGGCCAGTTGCTTCCAAGGGAGATGAATGAAATTGTAAGGTCGTTCATCTGCAGGATAGCCACAAAGGCCTGGGGCGAGGAAACACCTCTCCGTTTGCCCGGTTGCAGGACAAAGATCTCCGACGATCGCGGACTGGAGCGGATGCGACGACCTTTCTGGGAGGCCAATGATTCGTGTGCGAGGGTCCCAAGCTGCGGCCCAAGAAGTGTTCCCCAAAACACCAACATGCACAAACATCGGTGGCTTGGCCGCTGCAGACCATCCTGCCATCACGAAGTCCCAAAAGAAACGTGGAGGGATGGACGAAATCATTCCCTTTCTCTCCAATCTATAATTCTCATCTTTCCCATCCACCCGGAGGTGTACGTCATCTCCCTGGCCCATTGGGATTCCGTAAGAAAAGAAGTCGCAAATGTTCTACAAAACCCCGAGTGGGGCGCAGCCGAGCTACGATGCAAGGCAATCACGAAGTCCGCTTGTGAAAGCCTTGGGTCGCTGGTGTTTTCTGCATGATCTGACAATGGAACATAAAAGGACAGAGGAATATGATGGATTTGTTTTGCTACCTTGGCATTACCCTGGTGTCTTTTTTACTGAAAGCTATGTTGGAGAAGGTCTCCCAGCTTGTGGGACTGTTGGCGATTGCTGGGGTCCCCTAAGCAATACGACACATGATCATCGAACATGGAATACTTACAAACATCACGGAATTCCTCGTGGCTGGCTAATGTTGAAATAGTGCATCAATAATACTGCAGCGTTACTATAGAAATCAACTGTCATACATATTCAAAAATTGTTAGCAAGGAAATTATCAGCAAAGGATTTGCCCGGCAAGGTGGGCTTCTCCCGACCACTTGAGCCATTAGACTTAGATGTTTAACTAGTGTTCGTTTCGAGGACTCTTCGGGATCTGCAGAACCTGCAAGTATCTTTCACAGGATCACCAGGAGTTGTGCCAAACAAATACGTTTCACAGCAGGTGGGTGGATACTGGTGCAAAATCTCTAGCACTTTCCGTTGGAACTTTGTGGTTGGCATATGGTGGTACGGACAGTCTCAGGGACCTTAAGTCAAGGGGAGCGAGTAGTACGAGCTAATCGAGTCTGACATGACTGGCCAGTGCTGTTCCCTGTGTGTTTTGATTCTTATACAGATACATGGTGAGGGGTGCTTCTTGTTCGCTTCAATACAAGTATGATCAAGTATGTATGTATATAACTAAATGTAAGATGCATCATGATGTTTGATGTCAAATTGTTGAAACCCCTTCGTGGCAGTCTGCCATGGCCATTGAGGGTTGAAGATTCTAACAAATCCAAGCAACTTGGCTGAGAGTTTGAACAGGATGGACGTAGCCACTGGCGAGAGCTGGCACTCTTCCGTCTGGGTGTGCACCATCATGCGAAGCACTCGTTCAGATGGAGAGAACCCCAGTGTGAACCAGTCGGTTTGAGCAAGAACGGCTTCCAACTCGAGACCCTTTTTCGATAGAGGACACCAAAACGACGTTTGGGTGCCTTCCACCTCCGCACCATGGTGCTAACACTTAGCTTTCCAACACAAGTCTACTGTTAGCATCAGGTTTAAGGTAGGTCTACTGTATCAGCTCCCTACTCCCTACTCCCTACTGGATCACCCATAAAAGTAAAAACGATTGGCATCTCCAAAATTCAACCGTTTGACAAAGCATCTAAATCTATATATATAGAGAGATCTAGACTTCCTTGCATTTCCAACGATCGTATTGGTTTTTGGTCCTCGGGATTAGTTTCTGTGGTGGTCAAATATCACCTGACATTACGGATCAAAAGATCTACAAAGGATCGATCTCAACGATGGTTTTGAAGTAATTGGTATTAACATGTCATGTTGACTGAGGGATAAAACCGCCCCTAATGGAGATCTTTGATGATGTGCGACGGAGGAATTGGCATGAATTGACTGTATAATTATGGCTGTGGGTCCAAACCCAGATCCCCAAACCAGATCAAACCAGGGTAGATTGACCTCCTTGGTGGCCCATTCTGTTCATTTTCTCTGCTCAACCCGGTTTTGCCCGGTTGGCATTCCTTCCAGTACTTCCACCTTCCCCGGCCTCACGAGAAATGCAGTGACGAGGTCGAGGTGCCATCGGTCGGACGTTTCGGTGCGGCTGAAACAGAGCGTTGGGACGGTGCCGTTTCGGGCGCAGAGGAGAAGCATCTGCGAGGATCGAAGACGGTGATTTGAGGTTCAATTTATTTATGGGCCAAAGACCTTTGTCAAAGGAGATTCTAAGGCGAATTGCTCCATTTTGCCCTATGCTCTGGTGATTGATGGTCGATCCAATGGTAGAAGGGTTTCCGTGTTCCCTTTTCCCTTTTATGGCATATTGTGCGGTGGTTTCAAAATGAGTGACTGGAGACTGTCGTCTTGAGCCCCAGAAAGCCACCAGGTGCGGCAAAGTGCAGCATCAAACCTGCCCTTTCTGCGGGTTTTTCGAGCAATCGAGAAAAGCCACCGTCCAGGAATGAGACTGGGAGATCTCTTGGCGGTCAGGCTTTCAACTTGTGGTTTTGAACCTTCAAACCAAGGGAACATCTACTGTATCATCATCTATCCGAGGCTTCTTAAACTCAAACTGCATGGAATTCGGGAAGATCATGCGAAAGATGGTTTTCGGGTGTGTTTGTTCCATCTGGTGAGTCACACACCCAACCGAGGCGGCCTCGGAACACCGTCTCTCGACGGTGTGCGAACGACGTCGGCATGCCCTGTCAACGCGTGGTCTTTTGGCGCAAGCTGCGCTGCAGGGTCGGTATGGGCGAGCACCTCCCGGCGGTCAGGTATGGTGGAGCAAGGACGCTACTAGGAGCAAAGGGCATCGCTACTAGGAGCAAGAAGCTACTAGGGGCTCCTGGCCTTACTACTAGGAGCAAGGACGCTACTAGGAGCAAAGGGCGTGGGTTGTAATGACTTGGGCAGCTCTCATGAGTCCCCGACATGACGACCTATGGTCGTACATCTCCGGAGTAACAAAGTAGTGCATATTTGGGTCATTCTTGGTGTTGGAAAGGGGGCAGACCGGCAGACCACCCAATCACCCCTGGAGGAAGGAAAATGGACCAAAATGCGTTGGTTGTCACTGCGGCTGCTTGCAGCAGCTGGGTTTTCTGAATCCGATCTGAGTTATGACATTATGAAGGCTGTGCAACGTCTGAACCACAAACAAGTTGCTAGCAATTTACGGGAGGTCGCTCCACTTTAAACATGAAAGTACCATGCAAACCTTCGGTTCTCCTGAGCTGATGGTGCACATTAGGACCAGTGTGCTTTCCTTATGCTATGCTGAGGGGTGATCACTGCATGTCATCGACTGCATGAAACTGCAAAGGCCAAAAACCCATTGGAGGACTCCCTATTCAAACACACACCCATTATATAAGTGGTGTCTTCGGAGCTCTGAAGGTATGGAGTATGTATGTCCCAAAGATCAACAGGTAACCTTGTTTGCTGTCCACCAACCAACCAACCAACCAACCAACAAACCAAACCAAACCAAACCAAACAGTCCCAAACCAATCCAACCCAAACCAATCCAACCCAAACCAACCCAAACAAACAAACCCAACCCAACCAACCCCAAGCCACCAACCAACTGACACAACAAAACACAACCAAAAAGCACAACTAAAGACACACACACAAACAAACATACAAATATACATACAGTACATGACATCACATAACATTACATTACATTATAATACATTACATTACATACACAACATACAGATACACATATATCTATATATCACTGGTAATATACTATACATAACATGACATAGCATGACAAACATACACAAACAAACAATGAGGAAGCAAGAACATACGCTTGTTCCATGGCATTCCTCCACCCCGCCCCACATCGCCAAGCCTTATGAGGATTTCACGCAGCACTCCTCGTCCGTGCTGCCCTGGTGCTTGTCTGCGTTTGGGCGATGCTCCAAGCCTGCAACGCGTGCGTTGCGTCAAGTGAACCCCCGCCAGATTGTCTGCAGAGCGTAGCAATTTCGCCACAAATAGCAAAAATAACATAATTATTACACATCAATCCCTTAAAATTGTATTGGACACAGGCTGCTCTATCTTTTGCCAGGAACCACGATATACAACCCCATCAACCACATTTAAAACGCAAAATAATGTTGCTCTGGCTGTCCAGGGTGGGGCCGAATCGAGCTCCAGATCCGCAGGTTCCACTCCGAGCCTGCTTGCTTGTCACAGCAATAGTCAGAGCAAAGGAGGGGATCGTAACATTCCATGTCGGTGCTGCCCTTCGCACTTGGGTCCTTCTTCCTGCGCCAGCTGCGTTCTCGAGACATGGCTCAATGGTTTCTATCTGAACTCTCCCAAAAAGGTGCTTCTGTTTTTCAGATGTGTTCAACTTGCACAGCTAGGACATGGAAAATGTTTAAGTCATTGAATGTTTAAGTCAGGAATCCTTCTCCCGACAAAAGGAATACACCCCATTTGCGCGCGTGCGGGTTCGTGCCACGGGAGGGGCCTTCGCCACATGGGGAGTGCTTGTTTTCGCTCAGAAGCACTCGCTCTGATGCGGAACGTGTCTTTCCGTCTAAAATGACCAAACAAAGGTACCCCAGTAGGGTCCTATAGGGTCCACCTATAGGGTCCTACAGGGTCACACATTGGAAGTGTTTGAGCGACCCCTTGGCCATCTGCCATTGACCCAATGCCTTGGAGCAAAAGCTACGTTTGCTTTTGCGATCAATGACACTGGATGCGTTAGGCTCTGAAACAGTAGAACATGGATGTGATCCAAAATGCAAAATGGCCCTGGTGCAAGGCTTCTGCTCCCCCCCAAAAAAATGATTGCACGATATTTACAGTGTGTTTGAAGATGCTTAAAGCACTTCATTATTTTACTTTTGCTCCCAGGCACATCTGCTCTCGACAAAGAAAGATACAGGGGTGTTCAGAGGGACTGTGTGAATGTGCTTGAGAGGGCATGACGAACAGTTTCTTCTTTAAGATGCCTTTTTGAGTCGATGAACACACGGCAACATCAGCTGGTCAATGCCTCCGTGCCTTGTCCAGCGGGTGGGATGGCTGGTGGTATACTGACTGCAGAAGATCGGCATGCAGCATTCCTGAACGACACGGGACATCGGGGCGTCCGTCCTCGGGGCTTGTCGGTTAGCTCAGTGGTCACTCTAAGGAACCCTCTCAGTGGTCTCAGTGGCCAATCGCCGCAACGAAGGTTGATCTATAGATTCACTGCGACAACAGCGACAATTTGAGTGCTGAATGCAATGCCTCAGAGAGAGTCCAATGACTGTCTGGACCTGGATCCAAACCATGAACTTCATTCTATCAAAGGTGTTAATCTGTTCCCCGAGTTTGTTCAGCTGCTCGTGAAAACACCACTGTTCCCCCCGCAACAATCGGTCGCACATCTGGGCAACCAAAGAAATATGTACGACATCAGTAACGTGACTCCACTCCTGATTCCCCATGGGGGCATTGTCCCTTTTGAAACCCCACTTGGCTTTAACTGTCACCTACCAAACACTCCATGTATAGCATATTCATCAACATTGGGGTGGTTTCAGGATTGATGTAGGCATATATTCCGTACATGGAGCGTTTCGGTACCAGTTCTGTGAGCTGCTGACTGACTCCCTGGCATGAAACAGCAGTGCCACTGTGGATTCTCGACGGACTGAACGGTCTCACTATCAAGCTGGCTGTTGAGACTGACCACAATCAAAAGACGATAGTTAACATGACTGAAGATATCTTCAAAGGAACAACAGTTAACATGACTTAATCGTATTATACCTGATACAACAATATCATACAATATCTAACATGACTTATATCTTCAAAAGCGCAATATGTAATATGATTTTAACATATCTTAACGATTCTTAATGTGACCTTTAGGAGATTCTCACTTAACCTGACTTATATAGTAAATCAAATGGCAAAAATAATGAACAGCATTGCCGATCCAATCCACGCAATCTACATGTTTTTCTGCTCACAAAACGTTGGAGACCCGCAGTCCCAAGGGCAGTCCAAAAAGGTGTTCGACTCAACCCCTTCATACCATTTCAGACCCATCTCCACAACACGTTTGAGATGTTTGAGTCTGTTTGAGTATCTATATCTCAGTGCAGCTGTCCTCGTTGGTGCTACCTTGCCACTTGTAGATGTTGGTGTCGACACGCTTGTACCTGAGCCAAAATAGCTTCAAGACATTTCAAGACTACATAAGGTGTCAAATCCGCAAACCTGCAGGGAAATCCCTGTCAAGTGCCTTGTCCATTGTTCGAAGGCCATCTTCGACAAAGGCGCAAAACAAGTTTCAGGGTCATCATTTGGAGACCAGTCCAGGCTGGTTCTCGGTTTTTACAGTAAACGCATGTAAACGTTGGCATCCTGAACAAGGTTCACTTGGCACGAAGTTCCGATTCCGTACCAACTGACAGCCCTCACAAACACAAAGATGCGTAGAAGGGAATCACTGACATTTACCAGTTGCAATTTTGCCACAACATATCCCAAAATTGGGCGTGTGAGTCAAACCTGTCTCATCTCAATCTTGTTGTCTCATCGACCATTCGCCATGTCCAACCACCGGAACCTTCTACTTCAAGCGGCCACTGGGTGCCAACACCCGTGTTGTTCACATCCTCAGGGTGCCAAGTTGGGCGACATCGACTCTTTTGGTCTCGGATCTGTGGAGAAATGATGAGGAAATGACCATCAAGTGACCCAACGTGAAGTGATTCTACTGTGTTTCTATTGACCTACAAATGTCTACAGTGGTGTCGATATGCTTGGTGTGATTTGCCCAACTAAATTCTAAAGCGCCCCCAATTTGAACAAGTACGAATCCTTAAGCGATCTTAAGCGTATTTACTATTCAAAGAACCTCCCTGACCATCACCTTGCTTTACACGTATACCGTTGTTGGACAAAACTCCTCATGCAGCATCCGCAATCTATCTATATATATATATATTATAGGGAAAATGCGAAATTGCCGGCAAATGCTAGAATATGTGTTTCCTGCGCACCGCAGTATCGCAGGGTTCCGCAGTTCCATCGATGAGTATACATGCATTGTTTTAAGTTTTTCTGTTTCCATTAGCACAATGTTTAATTACACATACATAGACTACATGACTTTAGCAAGCAACTGACTGTCCCTAACAGGGTGCAATTTATCTGCTGTCCCAGCTTCAGTGTCACACACAAAGTCATCGCCTGGATACTCAGATCAACGACCGAAGAGTTTTTGCTGTGGCTTCAGCCCAGGGAAGGTGTCGGTCCGAAGGCCGGGAAGGTCGAGGATCTGTGAAACAGGGAGGTGTCGGTGAGATGCTTTTTGCCATCATTTTTTCTGTACATGGAACAACCAAGCTAGAACCTTTAAGAGAACTCTTTGCACAGAGAAATCCCAAAGGCAGAGATTGTGTAGCAAACCCCCAAAATGATGCCACTGGGAAGACTGAGTGCAAAGCTTGGAGAAGAGAGTCGGAAAGGGAGTCTTGAACACAGCCAGAACATGCAGTGTTCCAGTTTTACGGCTTGGTTAGGGCACATGGCCATCCTCCCATCTTGAATCCACATCCGTCCAAATCCAACCGAAACGGGGCTCGACAAAGCACACATACACAGGTGTTTGAGGGTTTTTGATCGTTCTCGGTGCTGTCGTCCCAAGCAGCCCTAGCACTCGGCATCCACCTTCCTGTCCTCCAAATCCAGGACCATCAAAGTGGCATGCCAACATGTCTGCTTGAAGAGTCACGTTAGGAAAATGAACACGACGATATCACTCTTGCCTACCGGCGTGACTGTTGATGTCTCTTGTCTTGCACCAGTGTGGTCACCCATGTCTTTCCAGGTATACTCCAACACACTCATTTCACCCACTTAGCGGCCCAGTCACAATAGATCTTCTCGCAGCATTGCTCTTTGGTGCTGCCCTGAATGGTCTCGAGGTCTGACAGGCTCGTGACGTCGTGGCTTGGGCGACCGTCAACGTTGAGCCGCAACGAAGTGAATTCCAACGCAAAACGGGAAACGTGAAAAAGTAGAACTTGGAGAGTCAGAAAGCCTGATTGAAACCTAGGGGGTGGCACATCCTAGATGTTATGATGAAATTGGCCGGTGTTTGGGGACAATCTGTGCCCGAAGGCCTCCCAAAATGGAAAACCAAAGTGATGGTGTTTAAAGTGGAATCTACCACTCCTCGGCAATCAGTGATGGTGTGTAGATGGTGTTTGATGCGGTGCGTACTGACTCACCTTTGTTGTTTTCTTGAGAAATCAAATTGCTTGGTGTCAGTGTTAATACACCTTTCGTGTTGTTTTCAAAACAATCGCACAAAACAACTACAGTATTTCCTGTGCAGAACAGCTCCCTGCACCCCAATACCCACCATCTTTTGACACCCTTCCCGTCCCTGAGGGATAACCACCAAAACAACAATAAACATATCTTGAGGAAGCCTAGGACCTAGATGCCTAATTTACGTCCTCTTACGCCTATCCCCGCAACAACAGTTCACAGGTCTCTCTACGACCCCTTCGTGCATCTTGGAAGTCATAAACCCTAAGCGACCCACTTGGAACGGTTCAACGTGGTTGCTTCCCTCAAACCTTTGTGCTTCAATGTAAGCTCCACGGCTACATCTGGAAGAACTATTTGTTTCTGCTTGTTTGGCATTGTTTGGCTTCCAGCAAAACACACATTGTGATACATGGTGTGGTTTTTGTGCACTTTGCATTCTACTGGCTACAGCAGGTCAGGGTTCCTTTTCTCAGCGGTTGAACATCAGAGGCAGCAGACCCACCTTCTGAAGGTCAGGCTGGTCAGACTTCTAGAAGAACAAAACCTCCAAACAATGGGAAAATCCACCCGAACAGCGCGAGGCGGACCCAGCTTCGGGCGGAGCGGCCGGCCTTCCTTGGCCTTCCACTGGGTGGCCGGATCACAGGTTTCCAGCAGGCAAAACCTGAAGCCGCAGGTTTCCAACCCGAAAAACCTTTGAGTTTTTGGCATTTTTGGACCGTTTTCGTCAGGTGTTAGAGGATCGTTTCCACAGGATGCCCGAGGACTTCCGAATGTATCAGCTGTCCGGGCTTCACTGTTTCCCATGAGATAGACACAATCTATAAAAGGCACGATCCTGCACGGGTGAACACACGTGGCCAAACGGGTCCTGCTTAAGCAGGCTGCCAAACGCGTCGATGCCGGTGGCTGTTGGGCGACGGTGGGATCGGCGGTTGGACCTGCCAAAGAGATCGATGTCTTCCACTTAGGAGCTCTCGAAATCTCCGAGAAAACAAGCTCAGCAAGTATCTTCCGAAAGGGAAAAACCACACACAAACAAAGACATGAACTAACTAACCCCCTTTCTCGCATGTTGGGTAAGGTGCGTGTGAAAAAGTGTATCAGAACTCTATTTACTGTACATCTACTATTTCACTATATTTTTATACCATCCGGGGATTCTTCCTGGGAACTCTCCCCAATTGAGCTAGACACCCATTCCATGTGTCTTCCTTCCAAGGTGCCTCTTGTCGCAGCATTCCTCATCTGAGAATCCTCGGCGGTCCAGATTGGTCTTGCCATGCTGGTTGGAGAGATGCACCTTGGCGATCGGCGGGTGACATGCGACACGATCAAGTTGGATGGACGGACGGATGGCTGGACGGACGGATGGCTGGGTGGTTGGGGCTGGGTGCGGCCAGTTGATTGGTCTTGGCTGGTTGATTAATCGGGTGGTTGATGTTGGTTGGTGTTGGTTGGTGTTGGTTGGCTGGTTGATTGCTTTCCTCATTTGCTCAGCAAAGCATCGTTCACCAAAAAAGGAACAGGCTGGAGCTCCCGATACCTTGAATATGTGGCAACGAGCGCTTTGTTCGCCGAAACTGGGGGTGATGATGCAAGCAGGTCTGGCCTGCAACGGTCCCAGCCCTTCTCGGACCACTCAACTCAAGGCCGAGGACCCTGCCCGTAACAAATGAACATAACAAAGAGGATGAGGATGAGCGTGAGCATGAGGATGATCACGAATCATAGATAGAAATCATAGATAATGCCTCAACCTCCCAAGGGATGCCCAACGGAATTTCACAGGTATAGTATAGTATTGTAACTATATAGGATAGCCCAGGATAGCTCATTGCGCCTCATGTTTCAAGCTGCCTCATGCTGCATCTCCTTCGATCTCTTTGGGTTGCGAAGCAACACAGTCTTCCATCGAAACGCCGCGTCGAATCGCCGCTGGGACCCCCCACCCACTTGCTGGGATCGCTGCACTGCCAGGAGGAGCAGAACTTGGTCTCGCAGCATTCCTCATCCGTGCTGCCCTGCAACTTTGCCTGTTCGATGCCCGTTTCCAGGTCAACGAGTGGAAGGTCTAAAGGATTTGTGACCTGAGTAAATGGTGATAGTCATAGTAGTTGGTGGTAGTTGTGCAATAGTTGCGTTTGCATGTTTTTGCAATAGTATATACGTATATAGTATATAGTGGTATCCGTATATATTTATATATAATATATCATATAATTATAGTCCAGCTAAACATTTCAGCAAGGCGTCTAGCATCGTGTAGCATCTGTGTGAAATCGGAATGGCAAACAATTGCCAAACACTTGAAGCCAAGCTCATGTTTTTTTTGTGCCCCTTTTGGACCTCTCCAGGCTTCTTCTGCAAGGAGTCTTTACTGCAGGTGTAGCTGGAGCAAAGAATCTTGGTGCAGCACTGCTCCATGGTACTGCCTGCGCATCCATCGCCAGCGGCGCATATACAGTAGACAATCCTGTTTTTCCCAAACAAGTGCATATTCTCATCGGGTACTGGTCAGTGACTCCAGCGAGCTCCTAAGAAATAGGAAGTGAGTGCAAGTAAAGCCACTTGGAAACCATGGAAGGCACATTGTATTAGGTGATGGTTGAGTTATGACAGGGGACTGGAGTTGTGACATGCTTCCTACACACCACCGGCAGGGTGCCCTTCAGAGTACCCTTCACCATGGTCAACAATTCGAACATTGGGTCAAGTTTTACTGTATTTTAGTTTCGGAAAAATATTGTGCAACACCCTACGTATAATATGACGACCTATAATGTGCGCGGTCAAGTGAAACTCGTACCCCCAGAACACTTACAACGCGGAATGAGACACACTCTCCACTGGCGGTGTTGCGAGCTGCGATGATCTTCCAGAGGTTCAGAATGCTCACAATCCACGAATCCACTCGCTGAAAGGCTCATGTTCAAACCACCGGACCGGCAACCGGTTGCCCAAAAGCGAGCTACGTGCGAGGCGTGCGCCTACGACCGCTGCTGGGTTGGGCTTCCACATGGTGTTGTTGGGGCACTCAAAGGTGTCACACTTCTTCACCTTAGGAGTTATACGCACTGTTGCAGCGGAAGGACGGGAGTCGATTGGCGACTGGAGCATCTCCTCGCAAGACAAAGAGGTCAAAAGAACGTCAAAGAACTGTCTAAAGTTTAGGAGTCTAAAGAAAAAGGAACGAGTTATTTTGGATTGTTGAGCACTGGGCATCACTCAGATCAGAGTGTTCTTGACGGTTGGCCCCAACCCGCGCAAAACAAAAGAATGACCCACAAGTTACGCAGCAGTTCCTATCGTTGGTTCTGGGTTGATTTATGTCCTATACCATGCCTTATCCATTAATTGGGAGCTTTTTATGGGTGACGGTCCGACCCGCTCTGTTGAGTGAGACCTGTGACACGGTCCACATCATCAATTGGTTGCACCGTTGGTCCACCGTTGGTCCCCACCGTGACGGTCCGGCTTCCTCCATCTCCGATCCCCCGCCCGCCGCACCGGTCAGCTCGCCCAGGTGCGTCGCAGCACACGTCCCGGCTGTTGCCCAAGATGTTGGCCGCGCCCGCCCGCAATCCGAAGTCCTGCCGTCGACGGCCGTTCCGACCGGTCGCGTGAGCGAAAAAGACATCCGTCGACGACTCTTCAACCCCACCATCTGTCATCTGACCAACTAAGCGTGCAAAGTCCAACAACCTCCGCTGAAGGGAAAAACACGATTCTGTGTTGGCTCGTTTTCGAGGCGTACAAATGATCTAAACCAAAGGGGCTGACCTCTCTGAGGCGACCCTTTTTGGAAATCTCCTGCGAAGAAATGTGGCAACCAAATGTACAGAAGGAAGCGAGTCTTACTGTAAGTCTTGCTGTCAATTGGCTGGGTCATGTTGGGTCGAAGTTCTCCAATAAGCCTTCGGTCTTTTGGATGTTTGGGCGATTATTAATGATCGTCTCTTTTCGCAATAGAGGCCAAGGTCAGCCTAAGTGAGTTCTTTTCCAGGACTAGTCATGTCTAATCCAATGTGCTGATCCCTGCAATCAACTGTTCCAACTGCGGCCAACTGTGAGATGTCTTGCACTCCGAACCCAAACACTCTGATCAAACGCACCGTGCTGGGCTGGCAATCAAAGCCCTTGCAGTACTTGCCAGCCTTGGCGCGGTCCCCGACGTGGCGCTGGCTTCCCAAGGTCCCAAAAGGGACAAATAGAACAAATCAATGCAAAACCTATCCGCTACACATCCATAAGATGTAGTGAGTAGACACTTTGCCAAAACAATGGGTCCATAAATTCCAAATACAAATCAGTCGATCACATGACTTGAATGTAGCTGGCTAGGCCAAGCAAGTACAGAATGACACTGTACAAACCCAAACGTTCGTGAAGCTCACCGAGTTCCCATAGCCAGGTAGCTGATAGGTCTTGGGTCTCATCTTAACGAAGCAAACGGTGCTTCAAGATAAGCAGGTGGATTTGTGGCAATACTGCTTGTAGCAGTGGAGGACTGAGTCCCGAGTCCCTAAACCTTTGGTTTGTCTTGAGTCCGTATCTTTGACAGATGTTGAATGCTTTTTAATGCTTTTTATGCATTTGTTTTAGATTGAACTAGGAAAACACAACTCACAACTCACCGCCGCCACAGCCGCCGCCCCTGGTGACCGGACCACTTATCAGATCCGCATCGGTCATCGGCCTGTTCATGACATGCTCCCGGTGTCTCAAGTCCAGTGGTTTCATCAATGGCACCAGCCTCCCAGTTGGCGCCGGACAGGTCGGACGGCTTCGCTCTGCTGCGCTCCAAGCAACGCAGCATTCATCGTCAGTGCTGCCGTAGCGAGGTGTGCCGTCCTGATAGGTGGAAGATGGTGGAAGGTTGGTAGAGCTCACTGGGCTGCTGAGTGAGTGGTATGTACGAAAGAAACAGTTTGTGAACCAGACATAGTTTACCTTCCTGGCTGGATAGAACAGTTGTTCACCCAGAAACTAGTAGTTATCAAATAAGATTTGGTCATCTGGATTGCTGCAATTAGGCTGAAGATCGATTGTCTAAGATAAATTTCTGGGGTAGGCCTGGTTGCACGGGCTGCAGAAAAATATATTTATCTCGCAGTGACCCACTGCCCACCAACAATGTGGGAAATGTTGATTTGATATGACGTCCATGAACCAAACCTGAAACTGGCCTTGGAGACACTTCTGTGTGAGTGGAACATCGTCGATACAAGAAGGACTCTTTGGACGTTTCACTTCACAATCTTCGCACGTGGTCATCACTCTGACTCCTAACATCTATCAATTGTGAACTCTTGGTTGAAAAAAAAAAAAACATGGATTGACACGACCTGATCTAAAAAAGGGAGGTCTTCTTGGATTGAACCTCAGTCTATTCTATACAGTACATATTGATAGGATTTGGCAAAACACAAATGCCTTCCCCTCCACGATCGGTCCACCACCAGGGACGGACGTTCGCTCCACCCGTCCGCGAGCGACGTTCGCTCCATCCGTCCGGTGCCGCGTCCTCGTTGTAGTTGGGGCTCTTGGTCATCAAAGCCTGGAAGGATGCAAAGGCCATGGCGTTTTGACCCATTTGGTTCACCAAACCTCCAAGGTCATCCCATGTCATCCCCAGGCAATGCCTCCATCCAGTGGCTGAAAGTGCGGTTATACATGGTTAAACGCCAGTGCTTCCCATGTGTGTTCCAGTCATTTCTCATCATTTCTCCTGAACAGGTGTCCACACAAGAGAGATGCAAGCGCAAAATGGATGCTCTGAACGTAGGGGGCCATCCGCGCAAAATAGATTCAGGAAGTGTTTCTTCTTCGAGACATCCGCCTTTTCCGGGCCGACCAGGGCCGGTTGCACCGCCAAAAGCGGAGGAACGTCCGGCGATGTACGTTATCCGAGCGGAGAGATCCTAGCGGTGGCCCGAGCGAGACAATCCGAGGCACCGGGTTGGAGCAAGTGTAGCTGGCACACTCCAAACGTTCGCAGCATTCCTCCTTGGTGCTACCAAGCACCACATCACCTCAGACATATGTGTTGACTGCACGTATATAGATGAGATCTTCAGGTGAATATTTAGCTTTGTAAGGTCATCTGGGTGCGGCTAGGTGTGAGGCTCCCTGTCCATCCCAAGTTCATCCCCTATTCGGTCACCTTATACATGGATCGAAAGCATTCGAAAGCACTATTCATCCTTTGTGAGCTGTGGGTACCTAGTCCTAGGTATGCTCATCAGACCTGTGGACATGATGGCAGAATATAGGAACAACAGAAAATGCCCCATGGCATGCACAGCACCCCACACTCAAACCCAACAGCCACAATGCGACAGAAAAGGGCTGCAGGACCAGGCAGGAATTCACTCCACAACACCTGTGATCCCCTCCAAAAAGATCAGAATTCCAGAAATGAAACAATGATTGTTAATCAGATTTAATGTGTTTTAATTTGCACTGGTAACTGACCACCCTCTGACCAGCGCACGTATTCTCATTAAACATATTCAAGAAAGGATCCACATATTCCTGAAACACCCAGAAACCGCTCGGTCAGGTGGCTTCCCGGCTTCCCCCACGCCCACCAACGGACTGGACATCAACAAAGACCGTCCAAATACACCCAGCCCAGCACGGTGTTTCAAGGGGTCTTGAAAGTCATGATGATGTTTCCTAGAGACCTGTGCCCACATCTAGTCATGATGTTGACGGTCATTGCATGGGTATCGGGAACCCCGTTGTCACATCCGGGGTGGTGAGAGAACCAACTAGACATCATACTCATAATGCTATACGTAGCATGTCTAGAGTACCAGAGTTCTTCTTTGCTCAGTTCAGACTACGGAATGAGCTGGTGGGCACATGTTTCATGCAACCACCGAACCGCTGTGACACCGATGTGGGTCTCTCAGTGCTTCCGGGCGATGTGCTGATCCCCCCACTTCACGACGCCCCGTGGCACGTGCGTGGCACGCGCGTTTCGGGTCAAGTGGCCCTTGCTGATCCACTTGGTGTCATCTTTGCAAAGGTCAGTCGGGCAGTACCTGGGTGAAACGGGTGGTGCTGCTTCCGGCGCAGTCCAAATTCCGGCGGCTTTGGATTTGACTCCCGCCACTGATGCCATATAATTATATGGAAGTAAACTGCGAGTGATCCAGATCCAAAAGTTTCTCTACATGCTTTGACTTTGCCAAGCATAGCTTAAACTTTAGTATTGATTTTGTATGTGTTTTTCCTGATCATGCCATTAAGAAGCACCTGGTAATGGTTGATTTCCCAGTGGCGGCCTTTGGAGAATGTCTGTGGCACTTCTTCCACGTCTTGGACCACGCCATGGCACTTTGGGCTGCAGCACGTGGAGTTGTCATGGCCTTTCTTCTCACTGAAGTTGGCAGCCTCCAGTCAGACCCGCTTCGCAGCGACGCAAAAGCCCGACCCAAACAGTTGAACGCTCAATGTGTTCAGGTTTTCTCAGTAATTCGGGTTCCAATGGTGTTATTTTTTCTCCCGTGGGCGTCGAACGACCAACAGAAATCATGTGGCGTGCTCTTGCCACCCAAGGCCTGACTACCGAAAAGCGCGCGAAAGCACTGATGACCGCTCGGGACTTCCCCCAGCGCCAGCTCTTTCATTTCTATGGCAAAGTGCAGGCCGTTCTCTGATCTCAACATGTCTTTTTCAGAGTACCGCTTCCAGTTTGCTTCAGGCGCTTCAGGCATCCTTTTGGGTTTGGTAGCAACACGCAGGAAAAGTGTGTTGTATTGTTTGTCTCCGTGGATCTTGTCTTGTGTTCGGCCTTTCAACATCTCCACTAGTTATCCGAAAAGCTTCAGCTTCAGCTTTCATCCCACACCAAACGAAGATCTACATACATGAGCTTAAAACTACAAGCTGAAACAAACAAGGGAAATGCACCTCAGGATCACCCAATGGTCCTACAGCCCAAACCACAGTAAACAGGAGTCGGACTTATGATGTTCCTGGCTTTCACCGGGGGGTGCAACCGATTGGATTGGAGAGTTTGACAGTTTGACATGTTTTTTTGACGAAAGAAGGTAAACATCCGTTGCAACGGCAAAATGGAAGGCTTGAATCGAAGGAACTGAAGCGAAGTGATGGGATTTTCCCCACCCCTCAGTTGATCCACTAGTGGTCGTTAGGGTCAGTACTGCACTTGTTCCTTTCTCAATACTATAACTTGCAAAGAAGCTTGGCCAACGCAATGCTGCATTTGTTCAGGCCTGAGATAGATGTTTGAGGATGTTTGAGGCTGGGAACATGATTTGTGCAATAGTTGCCTCAGATTCTTCGGAGCGGGCTGGCCCTGCCCTAAAATCTTTTGGTGCGTCTCTTGCATGTTATTGGAATGGCCTTGATTCTGACAGGTGAAGAATCGTGAAGCTGGATCCTCCGCAGCGCAGGCGTTACGCGACCATGACCCCCTGTCTTCGCCTTGGTGTACATGCTCTCAGGCATACACACATTGTCCAGGTCCGCACACATCCTGCGAGGAAGCGCCGGATCCATCCAAGTCCCCTCCGAAGCGAAGCTTCGGTTTGACTCAGCATTGGGTGTCGGCACCATGCAGAAAGATTCAGATTGCCCCAAGCCCGAGAAATACCATGATTCGTCAGTTCAGCCTAGCCTGGGGTTGAAAGTCCAGGAGCCGGTTCAACATCCGATAAGAAACATCGCTCAAGGCTCAAGCAAAAATGGCCTGCGAGATCTCTACACTCTACAGTAGCAAGTGGTACAAGATGGCACGAGTACGTAGAAAAGAAACTGCATTCATGGCCATGAGCGGAACACAAAACACAGCCTTGTGCCATGCTCTTCGCAGAAATGATTGCCTCTTTCCTTTGACACCTTCCAACAACGACGACGCCTCATCTCAACAGACCCTTCATTGAGCGCGTCCTCATTTCACAGCAGCGGGTTGCTGAGAAGCCGAAAACGCCCGTGCCCTTCTTCCTGGGCCAAGTTGTTCGCTGTAGAACGAATGATGTGGACAAACGCCATTGCTACAAAGATAAGCAAAAACAACATGTGTGTGTGTGTGAGATACCAAATGGACAACTTGCTCAACTCGGCAACTGAAGTATAGAGAGATGTGTATATTATGAGAGGGGCCTGTTATGGGCGGCAGGAAATTAAGACAAATGTTATTGTTTTTTGCAAATCCTATATAAATGAAATGAAACCAGGTATGAACAGATTACACTTTCACGCACATAGTGCTTCAGGAAAAATATGAACCAAAATTTGAATTAGAGCTGGACATGGGAATAAAGAAAAAAGACAGTACTCTAGGATTAGAAAATGAAAAGGAAAGTATAAACAAACAAATTAACAATTCCTGTCAGTTATCAGTTTCCTTTAAGCAGGATACATTGATATAATTCCTTGCGTTGTCCCCTTCAACAATGATAAATTCCTTTAATGTTTCTTTCAAAACATATCAACTCTTCTCATTACTTTGCAAAGGAACATGAAAATATCTAATCATATTTAAAATGAAAAAGTCATCCATGTCTTTTTAAGAAAAATGAAAGGAATGAGGTCCTCTTTAAAAGAAACAATAGAAGGAATTATATAATCATTTGTAAAAGGAGAACGACATGAGTTAAAAGGAATTGATTATAACAATCTTGAAAGGAAAATGCAAATGAGTAATCACGTTTCAAGGGAAAATACAAAGCATTGATCATTTTTGCTTAAAATATGTTCATTTTTAAATTGAGTCATGCCTTTGTTGCCCTTTCAAAAGGATATATTTCCTTTTATTACCCCTTTAAGAATGATAAATTCCCTGCATTCATCCTTTGAACATATATGTTCCTTTCAATTTCTATTTTAGTAATGATGATTCCCGTTCATTTTCCCTTTTAACCTGAGCCATTCCATTCACTTTCCATTAAAACATGATGTTTTCAAGTGTTTTCATGCTTAAACAATAAAACTCATACTTTAAAGGGAATATGAACGGAATTAACCATGGTTAACAGGATTTTCCATTAAAACATGATCACTTCCCTTCTTTTCTAAAGGACATGAATCATGTTTAAACGGGAAATGAAAGGAATTAATCATGGTTTAGATGAAAATGAAAGGTGTTAATCATGTTTTCACGGAAATTAAATGGAATAACAACTTAAAGAGAGAAGGACAAGGATTCATCAGTACTAAAGGAAAAGTGGAAGGACTTAGCAATTCCTTTCACTTTCCCTTTAAAAATGATAACTTGTATAATTTTTGAACAAACAATAATCATTTTCAAAAATGTTATCATTTTGAAAAAGACTGTCCCTTTAAACCTGCTCACTTCCTTTCATTCTTAAACGAAATGAAACAATTTGTTTGAGGAACATGAAAGTGATTATCATGTTTAAAAGGAAATAATCATTGTTAGAAAGAAAATAGAGAATTAGCGTTTTTGTTAATGGAAAAAATGAAATAATCATATTTAAAGTGAAAAAAATACATATTAAAAGGACATAATAATGTTTATGTTAAAAGGAAACAAACCGCAAATAAGCATTGTCAAAAGGAAAGGTAAATGAAATAATCACTTGGAAAAGGGATAATTTATTGTTTAAATGAACATAAAAGGAAATAGTTATGTTTAAACGGAAAATACAAGGACATGCATTGCTAACATGAAATTAAAGGAAATGATCAGCTTAAAAGGACATATACTAAAAATAATAGTGCTTTAAAAGGAACATAAAGGCATCAACTAGTTTCCAAACAAATGAATAATGAAAATATTCATGTTGAAAGGACAAGGACAATAAACGGACATAATCAGTTGTTTTAAAGGTAGATAGAATAAATAAAGCAGCTTTTAAGGTAAATAGAAGGACATAATCATGGTTTAAAGCAAAATACACGAAAACATGTTTAAAGAAAACATGCATTGATCATGTTCAAAAGGAAAATGGGTGACCGGACCTATTGGCTTCCGTTCTTTTATTTTTGGAAAATTTGCACCAGTTTGCCTAGTTTTACTATTGTTGAAAATGGGGGGCGACCGGAGCTCAGAGCCAGGACTGTGGCATGCGAATCATTGAGAAAAAACCTTTAAAAATAACACACTAATAACAACAAAAAAACAAAGATTTGGCAACTAGTCCAGAGATCAGACTAGTTGTGGAAACATGTTTTGTTTTTTTGTGTTTTCACAATAATTCACATTGAATAGTATTTCCTGAGAAGTCTTGCTGTGAAAACTGTTGCTTTTACATTAAGTATTATTAATCCAGAATCATCTGTGCTTCTAGAGTGCAGCAGGCAAACGCAGCCAAATACAGGCACACATCCTCTCATGCCACCCATGCAGCAAAGCCAGTGGTAAGCTGTGGATTTGGTCAAATGTTGCTCCAATATATAATATATATCCCAATTGTCTCAATTTTCTGCCGCCCACAACAGGCCTTTCTGGATACTATATATACAAAGCCAAAGTAAAAACCTTGCATATTTGCTGCGCTTCTCCATCTTGGGAAGCCCACATGATTCTTGTATATTCTTGCTAACTTCCCTCAAAGTCTATTTATCGCACGTAGACAAGAAAGCGATTGACGCAAAACAAACTATATATATATAAATTCGCATGACATGCAATGTTCTCAGATCAAGGGCGGTCTCAGCGAAGAAGAAGCAAAGAAGTGGGCCACACAAAGCAGCCCGCGTGTTGAGGAGCTACGGTGGGAGCTGCGTGAGGAGCTGCTCAGGAGCTACGTGCATTCGAAACCTGGTTTTCGAACGCTACATACTGGTTTGACAGGGGATCTTTTGAAACCCTACTAAACCAGAATACATACCCAGCGCTACTACTCACTGACGTGCTCATCAGGTTTTGGTGGCACATGACTCGGTCGCACTCTGTTCACCAAAGCGTCTTCATCGCGGGCGATGGGCATTCAAAGTTGTCGCAGGACCTGTCGGGAAGGCGTCGGTGTCATCGATCGAACATGATTCGATGCGACTGGCCAGTTTGGAGGATTGAAACATCCCAAGTAACCGGTGTTCAAGCAAGGCCTTCCAAGCAAGGCACCTGAAAAAAGAACAGTTGCTGTTTTTGAAGAGGCAAACAAATCCGGATTCCAATGCGATTTTCTTGATTCGTTTACTGGGAGTTGAGCAACATCTTCAGAATTCAACATATTTGTGGATTGATTTCGTGTTCCCATGCCGTTCATTCTTGATGTGCCCTGTGTCATTGTGCTTTGGTTTCCTTCCTCGTGTCTTACTTCCTACATTGACCATGCAAGGAGGTGAGGAGCAGGGACGGCTCTGTAACCTCTGGGAGCCTCTGGGACACGGCTGCTTTCGGTGGGGAACTGGTACCTCCGTATACCGCCCACTGCAAGCACAGCAGCTACAATGACTTGCAGTTGGAGGCAATCGAGCATGCAACACTTTCCAAAGTTTACGGACTTATGTCTAAGAGGGGAGTGGAAAAGGTCCAGTCCCTTGTGCAACAACAGCCTCACACCCTCTTCAACTCTTTGACAACGACTTTTCCAATGGTGACGAACAATGTGGAACCAACCGGCCCAAATCAATGTGGAGAGAGGATACCCAACATATCTCTTCATGAGGCCCGGCCGAGATACCAAAGGAAGTCACAGTAAGCAGGATTTGAGAAAAGAAGAACGGGAGGGACCCAAGACAAATCTCTCCTCGCCCAGCAAAAGGCTGTATGTATGGCAGGAAGATTAGTCAAAAAAGTTTGGCCAGATTAATTTGAAACCTTAGGAGTTATTGAAAGTCGGTTACAGTAAATATGGCAGGAAACAGTTAAGCCAATCATGTAATAGGGGCAGGGGAGTCAATTACTGAATCATGGCATGACAAAGCGAGAACAGTTTCACGTCCATGGTTTCATGATGTTCCATGGTTTCAGGCCACTTTGGAGAAGGGAGAAGGGAAAAAACACCCCTCTCTGGATCCGTGCCATCGAAGTTGCTCCGAGTCTTCACTAAAAGAACATGCAGCCCAAGGCGCCGCGGGGCCAAGCAAATGTTGGACATCACAATCCTCAGCCCAACAACGAGGCGTTTTGGGGTCCTTTCCCTCCAAGGCTATAATGGTGTTGGTATCATCACATCTACCCTGCGGAGCAGGGTTTGGAACCCTTGAGAACTTCCCCCTCTAAGGTTCCAAATTCTTCGGGTGGCTCAATGGTTTCAACATGTGTTCATTGGAATGTGCTTCAATCCACCTTGAAAGTACCAGTATCCAAACAAACCATACGAGTTGAGTGATGGGAAGATCCGAAAATTCCCTGGAAGAAAGGTTGAACACAACTCTCCCAATGCCTACCACCCGCATCCACCCGTCCAGAAACACCTCAAATCTCCAAACACACAATGCGAAGACACTTTCCAGAAGTCCACAAGGCTGGATGTTTGTACTGAAACTCTACATCGTCGCCGGAAATCTCCACAGTATCTGTGGCCTCATGATCCGCGGCATTTGGGGAACGAGTCGGCAGCGAATTTGCTGAAAAGCACTCTCTTGGCCGATCATTTCCTTGTTGACCAGCGTGAACAGTAGAAACACGATAAAAATCATCTAGAAATGAACTATAAATTAGAATGATATACAATCGTTTCACAACAATAAACAAAACGACAACCTGACACCATGGCGCGCAATGGGACACATGATATCCCAACATCGGTTGAGGTCAAGATCTGCGTAATCAATGCCAATACTATTGGGATCGATTGGGGTTTTCACTTTTCAGCCACCAGAAGGCAGCGGGTCACAGCCCCACATTCAATCTGACAGTATTTCATGGTTTGGTGTTGTTTGCCTTTCACCAGGGGCGCCAACAAGGAGTGTTCACATTCCCGCGCTGGTGGTCGACAAATTTTCCTCGCCTGAATGTCGACCTCTTGAGCACCATCTGGCACTGTGATCTTCAAGAAACCTCCTGTTGCCAGTCGGATGATCGTGTCTGGCATAGCATTGGTGATCGTCCCCATTCAAACCAAATATATACGGGAAATGGTCAAAACCTGCTGAGAACCGCCGGCATATATGTTCAACATCACCCAGAAAGCATCTATCTTGCATGCATGCTGGCACTCTATCTTGCATATTTTCTGGCACTCTATCTGGCATCTATTTTGGAATTCTATCTCGCTCATATTATAGCATTCTATGGCATATTTTCTGACATTGTGTAATTCTATCTGGCATTCTATCTGGCATAAACTCTGGCATATATAACTTCTGGCATTCTATCTGGCATGTTTTCTCGCAGTTTATCTGGAACATTTCAATTTCTATCCGGCATACTTTCTCGCATTCTATCTGGCACATGTTCTCGCATTCTATCTGCTGGTGCCCACTGCGATCTTGAGTTCGCGGATCGGTTCCAGTGGTGCTCACTGCGATCTGGCGCTCTCATGGTTCAGCAATGACCACTGCGATCTGGCGCTCGCGGTTCAGGTCCAGTGGTGCCCACTGGCATCTAGCAGTCGTGGTTCAGGTCGGGTGGTGCCCTCTCCACTCTGGAGCCCGCTGCGAAGGATTCTGGAGGAGGAGGTGGAGAAGGAGCAGCTGTGACAAGATTTAACAACCCTCACCTGGCAGGTGGGGGACAAATGCATCCCTCTGGCCAGGACATAGACAGTAGTGCAAACACTTTCCAGGCAAAATGAGATTAGGATGATTCGTGAGTCGAACTCTAAAGATACACATTAGCACCCCTAATCGAACGCAACACTTCCACTACTGAATAGCTCCGGCCCGCGGCCGAAGCCAACCGCAGCAAAACTCTTGGGCGAAACCACTTCACGCAGCCGTCTCCTGTGTCCCCCGAGGCAAAGCCAAAGGTTCGAGGCACCTTCCCAGAACAAAAGACGGGACGACTTAGCGAGTTCCTGGTGGTCTAGAACCGTTAGGCATTTTTTTGTTGACACACTTTGGGCATATGTTGCAACTCTTTTGCAAAGATACAAACATATCGTATGGTAGCTAAGTTATGGTAGTTTCTTGTTGCTTGGTTTCATGGGTGGTTCCTTCGCATGACAACCATCTGACCCACGCTCAATTGAGCATCTTTCAGTCATTCGGATTGTGAGGACACCAACCATCAAGAAGCCTCTCAAGACTTGTTGATCTCATCTGTCGTGCTTTGTTCGAAACTGATGTGCCGTTGTTGTGACTATAGACTATAGTGGGATTCGTCAACAATCCTCAATGGGATGTGTAACCTGTATCAATCCGGGGTCAAGTATTTTATTTGATCATGGTATCTGCCCACAGTAGATGGGGGCAGTGTCCTCCATGTAGTAGGCATGTCCACTTAGGGTTGAAGTGTACTTTTTACAACAAACCGCTTGTCTTTTGATCGGATCTGATACCCATATTCCAGGGTCCACTTTTGGGGCTATATATATATATATTATTCAAGTCGTCTACACTTTCAATCGTCAGCGAATCGGATTCCAAAAATTCCCTCCAGCCCTTCCAGCCTAGCCAGAGCCAGCCAGCCCAGCCAGTCACCGTGACACCAACTTCTGAGCTCTCAACTTCTTAGCCCCAGGGAAATATCATTGAAAAAGAACACCGACACGCATGGATGGGGTTGTCCACCAGTGAGTCTGTGTTGCATTGGCCAAGACCACATGTGCCGCCGCCGAAAAAACCAGGCGCAGATCAGAAGTGCGGGGATTTGCGATGCCCTTTATTCTTTCTCGGACTGCCTGGCTGTCTGAGGTGAAGGTTGCCTTCAAGAGCCAAGGCATCCCGATTTTCCACTCCGGGTCCTCCTTCCTTAAGGGCTCAAAGTGAGAGATATGCGACGAGGCGGATTCTGGACGACTGTGATGTGGCCCAAAAAGAGCAACTTGACTGGTTTAACATGCAAAGAGTGAAGACCGCTTTGGAAAAAGGATAAGGATATCGGATCCATATGATAAATATCATACATAGACTGCAAAGGACTCAAACAATCTAAAGCATACTAAAACGTTCACACCAAAAGGTTTCAGGCGCTTCAAGAACTGCTTCCGACCTCAAAACAGTCCAAATACGCAGGTATTTTGCCGAAGCCACCGTCAGGGGGACTTGGGATCTTGGTCGACTACTTGAAGCTCAGCGATGATTATGGGGCTGGAAGTCAAACATTAGATGAACTCGGACCTCCCCTGTAAATTGCCTGGGTGCTGTGGGATCTGGGAGTTCGACGCACCTCTGGGAAGCATCCAGATATAACCTTTAAGGACCACCCTGTCCAGTGATCGATTGAATACTGGGGATCCATTCATATGTGCAGAGTACACACCTAGACCCAGGGCCAGGGATTTGCTAAAGTATCCCAGGTTTCCAAACATAGTAGTTACATAATAAATTAACATATAAATATACAATATACAATATATTTTTATATATAGAATTCAAGATATAAGTCTTGCACTGCAATCATAGGGTTGAACAATGTTTACTTCAACATCCTTCAGACTGGCTCCAAGCATATTAGACTGGCTCCTGTCTCAAATACATGTCCAACACCAAGAAAAACCCGGATGTCGAATTCGACGACTTCTAACTTCCGGTTTCCTGGCCCAGCAGGAAACACCCCTCCAGCGCCCAGTGGCAACGCAGCCCGAAGCTTTTCCAAATCAAAGACCGAATCCATGGGATTCATGGCCTTCCCACCGTTCTCGTCGTCCACCTGTTTCAGAACTCGAGGTCAACGGTCGTGACATCGTGACAGTGAACTGTTGCTTTCAGAGGTGAGGAGTTTACGTGGGATCACATGCCGGGTCTGTCTCCAATCTTGCTTTGTGCACTCAACCTGCCCAGATCGTCTACCACCTGAACATCTACATGTTTTCCGGTGAAACCACCTTGCATTCTTCAACACCTCCAAAAAAGCCCCTGCAGTCTTGGAGCTTGGAAGTTGCCCCAAAACCCGTGTGATGCCAACCCCTCAAGCGCGTGCGTGTCCCGCCATCACGATCTTCTTCGGTAGGGAGTCGGGGAACCTGCAGTGGAAGCTGGTGGGTGAGGGTGGGTGTCGCCGGTGTCGCAAGCCGTTACCAGTAGTGAGCCATCCGATGGTCAACACCAGAGGTACAGTATGCGTTAATGTAAGGTACCATATGTTAATCTTAAACGTCCCCCAAAAAACAACTCATCTCACAACAACTCCCACAGAAATGTGGCGGCTACACTAGTTGGGGAAATCAGTCAAGTTACAGTTGTTGCAATTGTGTGTTTTTGCATATTCCCAACACGAACAAAGCAAACAAAACACCGCCCCCCCTTGCTGGCCCCTGGGAATTGACTCTGAAATATCTGAAATCACTGTGGACTTAGGTCGGGTATATCCAAGCTCTACACTCACTCTAGACGAGCTCACTGCACATGCGAGTTGGGAATTGAATCCTTCACATCAAGGCTAAGTTGGCTCTTGCTCGTGAAACTACACGATCATCCGGGACCAATCTCCTGACTCTTGAGCAAAACAGCGGAAGCCCCAGTCAATGTGCAACAAAAAACGAAGCATATTGATTAAAGATATTAAAGCATTCAGTATTATACGGTAGATGCTTTATGAAATGCTTGGGAAGTACCAGTCACTCAATTGTCCCTATGAATTTGATAATCTGAAACTAGCCGAACCAAATACCTTAAGATACCTTAAGTGCCTAGCAGCAAACCCATCTTACGGGTTCGAATGGAGGGGTTCGTTCGTGGCTAGCCTGATTCACACCATTTACCCACATCCTGTGGCAGTTTGGATGTTGACGGCATCTTGTTGCTGCTGGGAGTGTACAATACCAGAAGGACCCCCAGTTAAACCACCTGGTACTGTAGAGGTAAACAATCTTCTATCCCCATGACCCATGTCTTTATTGCTAAACACCAAAATAATGCTGTTTCTTCATATGGTGAGCACCCCCGGAGAATGCCTGACACAAACATCAAACATCAAGTAAGTGTGTTTACCTGTTTTTCATGAAACCTGTCAAACACCACTTGCTTTGAGCCCTTCAGGAAAGCGAAACAAACACCTGTCCAACACCGTTTCCGCTGCGACGAGTCGCCGATTGGTTAAGCCCTTAGGGCATGGGTCTTCGCCCTCCTCCGCGGAGAGCTGCAGCCCGGTCCTCACCTGCAGAGTCGGGTGGGACCGATTGTGAGGAGACGGACATCAAACAGGAGGACGATCCATTCCAGGACGAGGAGGACGAACCATTCCTGGTTTCGTTTGCGTGTTGTGTCTTTTTTTACAGGCAAAAACGAATCTCTCCGTTGCAGGAGACCTTTGGACACGTCGCTTATTTATTCATTTCTTTGTTAAGGTAATGCAAGGACACAGAAGGGGTCCTATGATGCAATCATGCTCACTCTGTTCTTCGAAGCGGAATGGCATTTGCACACAGGTGCGATCTACTCCGTCCTTGGCTGCATCAGCCACCATGGCAAGCACCAGGAGGCTAAGCTTCATCATGGTCGGAGAGAAAAGGGGGGCTTCGCTGCCTACAGATCAGCTGAGCCCTGAGCCAACAAAATCGGCTGCGCCACGCAACCCATCGTTTACATGGTTGATCATGGTCCAAATCCGGGTGAAAGTAAAATCGGATGGCACAGCTCCTGACTATTCAGTCAGTACTAGTCAAAACACTGAACTCCCAGTCAAAAACAAATCGCAAACTGGAAGAGAGTGTCTTCCAACAAAGTCCACACCAGGATCGTTTTCAGGGATTGGTTGTCTTTTCTTGTTGTCTTGGGACCTCTCCATCGGCCTGTCTGCAGTCAGAAAGGACAAACTCATGGTCTAAGTGAAGGTATTGAATCGGGGAAGGTCAAGGACGAAGGACAAGAAGGATTGAAACGGTTGTTGGAGGTCCATCCACATTGCCATTGACGATTGCTTGAAGCCTTGAAACTATCTGGGCCGGTCTGGGCCTAGTCTTCTTGCACCCATATTGAGGTGATCTTGGAGGAATGAGCTCGTGCGCCGTGGAAGCTTTGCTTGGTGTTATTGTCGGATATGGTCGGTTTTGGGACCACCACTGCTGTCCTAGAAGCGCGGATCAGCAAAAACATGTTATCAACTACCTGTATGTGGGACTGTCTAAAATATGCTTCAGGATTCTACATTCTACATGACAATGTGAAACATGACCTTCTCCACCACCAGATCAACAATACCTGAGATTTCAGTTCAAATTGCCAAGTAGGAGGAACTGAATTGCCCTTGAACCATTGGCCTTATACTATAGTAAATATACATATATATATAATGTATACATACTGGCGTTTAGATCTCTTCGCCTGGCGACGCCAGCCTCACCTAAGCTATCCATCCAGGAGCCCCGGCGATCGCAACCATCTTCGTACTCCAAGCACCTTTCTTCGAATTCAGTGGCAAAACCTTGGGAGGACTTGATCCCTACATCTGCAGACTGTTCCGTATTCTATTTGGTAACTTGGAGTTTTGGGCATTGATTTTCACCTACTATAGATGCTTTGCTGGAAGCTGAACCTTTACAACCACTCCAACAAATGGTTTCTCTACTGTTGCTGTTCCACTTCCCTTCCTGGTCTTTGGGGGTTATAACTACCTCTTGAAGGGCTCCTGAAGCCTGGAGGGGAACATACTAAAATATCGGGATCCCTGTGCTAAACCTGAGGGAACTGTGTGTGTGTGTGTTTGTGTTGGTGGGGCATGTCGCTAGCCGCACACACACACACACATCACGTATATCTTAACATACCTATGTATATGTACATATGGCCTTTGAAAGGACCTCGGTTGTTTGTGTGCAATTCTTCTTCAAACGATCATCATCCCATATCATCCCTTTGTAATTGCTGATGGGAAGCTTCCCCTGCATCAGCACTGGACCGCCCGACGTACTAGATATGCTGTGCCCACTTCCCGGACGACGGGGCTGTGAGTTGTGAGTCAAACATGTGAAACCAATGTCAAAACCCTCAACACCAAACACATCCAAACATGTCGTGGGTTGCCATCGCGGGTGGACCCTTTTCTTGATTTAGGGAGCCAACCAGGTTCCTGCGGCTCAAACCCACGGCCATTGAAAGCTAATAGAGCAACTGGCAACCCCTGAATCTGTCTTCGTCTTTTTGTCACAAGAATCCTGCGGGTCGCGAAGCCCGCGAATCACAAGCACGACCTGTCATGGCTCAAACAAGAGCAGGGTATGCGGTATGCGCGACGTGAGCATGCTCCAAAATAAAGTTGAAAAAGGTTCCCTGTCCTCAGCTTCCAAAGCCTCATTCGAACAATTCCAAGACCAACTGCCAGCATGACCCACTTGATGAGGTCCAACAGCACCTTCAAGATCCCCGTGTACTACATCAGCTCGGCCGCTACTTAAAAAGATCGCGTTGTTCTTATAGGGAAAGCCAAAAAAAATATGAAACAAGCATCAGCTTTTCTCCACAGTGGCCAAAAAAAGAGTCCGGTCGGAAGAAGAGTGCAGTCCCGTCAATCCAACGTCTCGGATTCTTCCCAAAAAAACATGTTCCTTGGTGGAGGGCGCACCCGCATGGCCACTGCGATCTTACCATCCTCCTTGGCACTAAACAGGGGATGGGACCCACTGCCATGTTTGTTTGGGGGGTCACTGGGAAACCCATATTAACCCTAGGGATCCACATAAAAGGACACTGAAAAGGTGCTGCTGCTGAAAACCCTCCTGGTGCCAACACAAAAGCTAGACTGCTAGACCGCTCTTGGCGAGACCGCTCTTCCAACCTCCAGTCTACCGGTCTCTGACTGCTGGTGAAAAGTGAAGATGAAAGTTACTCCAACCTAGAAGCGATGGCCTCCAACCTACTGGCGATGGCCTGCAACCTAAGAGCGATGGCAACTTCATAGCATCTGCCGGCAAAGTCTCTGGGTTTGACTTTCTGCAGCTTATCGATTCTCGTTGTTGATCGGTGCGGAATGTCCAAAGGCAGGTTTTGTTTGGTCGGCAGACCCCGAACAGGGCATTGCCATCAAAGAACTGTTGTTTCAAAGGGACCCCGAAGGGATACGAGCTCTGAACAACTAGAGAAGAAGCAAATTCTTCGTGAAACACCTCGAAATCCAGAATATAGAAAACATAATCTGACAATAATGAACATCTGCCTGCTCACCGCCACCTAAATTGTTTGTCTGTTGAGTCTATTGGCCACCAATTCCTCAGCCTTTCCCAATGAATCAAGGTATGGAAATGAACAAAACTCTGGGTCAAAATCTGGAACTCGCAAGTTATGGTATTTGCATGTTTTAGCGTCTTACATAACAACTAACTAGAACCAAACACCCACGGACCATGGTAGCGTTCACATCCCAGTGTCATTGTTGATTAACCATGAATGAATCATGATCGACCAACACAAATTTGACACTGGAAACTTCCAAAGGTGACGGATGATACCATCTACAAGTCATCCTGCTGTTTGTGCCATCTATTCTGACAACCACCAGACCACTGGACCACTTCGCCCTGCAGGCGCCCGACCTCCGCTTGCAGCACCGAAGCTTGCCCCGAGGACCTGGGCGCTTCGTCTGGTGGGAGGGATGCGGACCTGTGTCTAAGACCGTGGGAGAATGATGTGGCTTGCAGAATGGGATGTGGCCTTTGTCTTCCTTCCGTCCCGCATTTGAAAAACCTCGCAAACCAAGTCCACAACGCACAAACGAATCGTGGCTCCGAAACGACTTGGCCATGGTTTTGAGGATTCTCCTGGTCTGTCCCAAACGTCCACCAATGTCCACCACAATTGCCTCAACATTCCCAAACCGAGCAAGTTGTGCTTCCATTAGCCCATCATTCGATCGTTTAAAACAAAGTAGAAATGCTCCCACCGCTAGCCAAATAGATGTATCGCTCATTGTCATCCATTTAAAAAATTTGATCCCGGCACACCTAGATAGTTTCACATGTGTCCTTCCATAATCCCACGTTCCTCATCCCACCCCAAATCACCCTTCCCCAAGTGTGGATTGGAAAGACAAACAATGTTCTACTATGTTCAGGATTCCACCTCTCGGCCGCTTGGCCACCCTGCCGCTCCAGGACATGTACTGGCCTGCTTGACCATCCGAAGATCGTTGCTGGCCTGAACAGCTGGAAATCTCATGGCCTCGAAAGTCTGTGCCATGACCACCTGAACAACACGTATAGAACACCGAAACATCGAATTGCGAATTACAAAAGAACACATATGTACCTTTTGGAAAGAATTAATATAAAACATAATCCTGGAAAGATTAATATATACACAGAATCTATCCTTTGGAAAGATCCGTCAAATGACAGTGACTTGGGCGAGGTCAACTCGATGCCTCCGCCACCGAAAGCAGTTTCAACAGTTTTGAGCGACAATAACACCTCGTCGAAATGCTCCAACTCATGAACATGGAAGTGAAAAATAGCATCTGGGACAACTATGTACATCACAAACACATCATGGCGTCCCGCTACTACGTGACTGAGTCAGAGGGGAATCTATTGTAGCACTTGCAGTACCGTGTACCATTCTTCAAACAGGAAATCCACCCACGAACCCACATCTTTGTTGATTGGATGTCGTCGTTTTGATCGTTTCAGATCATATGGATCATATGGTCAGTTTACGGATGTTTAACCTAAATGTTCCTACGGTTGCCTTTGAAGTTTAACCCAATCCTACGGTTGCCATTGAAGTTCCAATACAAAGGCCATGGCAAAACAGGTTAGACATGAGAAATCAAGCTCAATTTGTTTAATGTGTACATTGGAGTGGTTCAAGGGCTGGGGGTGGAATTATTTCACCACACCAGGGTTCACTGCCATGATTCTCAAGTTATACCTAGATACCTACAGTAGATCTTCCAACTATATATGTAAAATCGTCGCCTTTGAGCTGGTTTCATAGATGAAAAGGCAAACATTTGTGCACAGTTGGAAGATCTGGGCAATTTTATCTATATATATAATATTATCTGAGGGCTCTTTGTAACACCACAAAACTCTATAGTCTATGGATGTCTATAGGTTTATCTGGCCGCGTGGCAACCATTCCTGTTGCCATGACAAACAGAAGATGCAAACCATCACCAGTGGAACACACAATGTTGCTGTTCTGTAATCTTCCAACCCATCCCGGTTCAATCGCCCAAATCGTAAAGCCCAGCGCAGAAACCCAAAGGGCAAAACCACTCCGTGTTGGTGTCTAGTCTATTCCTTCATATCTACGCGATTGACAACCCTTGAGCACGTGGTTTTGCTGTTGTTTCATGTTGGTTTTTCCTCCAAGCAGTTCGTGATTTCATCGCTCGTCAGTTCGTCACCTATGACCTATCATCTGGTTGTCACCTATCACCTATGGGGCTCTGTGTGGCTGAGAAAGTCTCGTTTGCCGATGCCCTTCACGCAACTTCCACGAGGTTGGAGGCGACCATGATCAGCCAGAAACACCACGAGTGCCGGGTGCTCTGTGGGTCTT